CCTAAACCTTCATTGGACGCCTACTTACCATGTCCTCGGAGGCTCTAAAGTCATATATGAACGATTATAAAGACCAGGGCCCCTTTTGCGTTCCGAAGCTGTACGGGCGAACTTTATGTTTAGAAAACTACATTCATCTACGAGAGTCTTACATATTTCTTAAGCGAGGGCTGCCATTAAGAAAACCAGGAGATTCCCAGAGTCTCAGCAGCTTTCTTAACCGACGCATCCAGGGATTGAACCCAGGGCCTTTGCAACTGAAGCTGGCGCCTTACTCATTACGCTGCCGCCGCCAGCCTAAACGTATTTTTAATAGATTCAGAACATAGATCTTCTAATTGGAAAGGTCCACAAAAGCCTACGTACCCCAAACCACCACTACTACTACTGCTGCTCCTACCACTGCTGCTACTCCTACTCCTACTCCTACTCCTACTCCTACTCCTACTACTACTACTACTACTACTACTACTACTACTACTACTACTACTCATTTATATCTGCTGCTGCTATGTCGACGACGACGGCTACTACCGCTACCACTACTTGGCGAGTTGGAGCCCCTGGCAGGAAGCCAGCGCGGGAGCGACCGCAGCGCAAGGCACGCACCGTAACAGACTTCATATACATACATATATATATATATATATATATATTTATATATTTATATACAGATATAAGTATAGGGGCCTTAGCTATCTATATCTATATATATATGTATATATACATATATATGTATATACGTATATATATATATAAAGGGGCCTTAAGGGTTCCTTTAAGGGGGGTATCATGGGGATTTAACATAGCTAAACCTAGGTATCGATTTTGAGTAACTTTTGCCTTCCCTTATTGCTTCACCTAGAGCCCTAATTATAGACAGTTTTCGACGCTGTTGAAATCGACACCTCGTAAACGGTGGAAAGGGTTGAGGGCTTGGGGTGTTTAGATTGGGTTCTTGGTTGCAGTCCAGGAGGGTTCCATGCGCTGATAACTAGACCAGGATTTCGGGGAGGTCTGCACCAAAACATGTTTACCCAGACCCCCGGGAGGATCCAGAAAGTAGATCCCCTAATTTAGGCCCTATAATATTAAGGGTACTTTGTAGGAACCCCCATTAAGGGATCTACTTTATGGATCCTCCAAAGGGGGTCTGGGTAGGGAACTTGAAAGATGGGCTTAAGCATTTTCTCCAAGCACTTCGGAACATGACGGTCTATAACTAGGAGGAAGCTTAAGGTGTTCAGAGCTTAAGGTTTAGGGCTTCTGTGTGTTGGAGATGTTGTTTTTTGACGGTTTAGAGGTTTCTTGGAGGCAGCCACAATTCGGGCCTCAAGTATGAAGTTCTGAGTCAGGGTTATTAGTAGGGTTCAGCGGTTTGCGTTTAGGCTTACTTGGTGCAGGATTCGTACTTATGCCCTCTTGGAACTGTGTTTTTCTCTGCCACTCTACTACCCTGGTGTAACTCCATGCCCTGCCCTAAACCCTGAACACGCAGGCGCTTATGTAGCGGTCGACAGCGCCGGACACAACCCCACACACGCACAGAGGCACAGACGAAAAAAAGCAAAAGTTAGTCGAACCCAAGCCCCAAACCCTGAGCCGCATCTTGCAAAACCTAAACCCTACTTGGAGGATCAGGGGACTTAGTAAGTAAGGTTATAAGTACCGCAATCGGGGGTTATAAGTAATTATAAGTATAGTTACCTTATTTATAACCCTAGTTACCAAGTCCCATGATCCTTTAAGTAAGTCCTAAACCCTAAACCCCATAGATACCTTTAAGGAACCCTTATAGATCCCTTTAAGGGGCCCTTTAAAGTGAGCCCTAAGCCCAAGATGCCAAGATCCGACCCCAGCTGGGAGCCAGGAAGTACACAAGGCGATGTCCCGCCGATCCAGCCACTGGGACTACTTGGGGGATCATGGGACTTAGTAAGTAGGTAGTAAGTAGACTTATAAGTACCCTAAAAGGGACCCTAATTGGGGTTATGGTACTTATAAGTCCCTAGAATAACCAGTTACTAAGTCCCCCGACCCTCCAAGTACTGGGCTCTCGTTACGGGCTTTAATTGAAGATACGGTTGATGATATAAATCCTGCATTACCTTGAGGACCCTAAACTATGGGAATTATGGTTTATTCCTCATTATGGGTAATTTAGGATTTATATCATCAACCGTACCATGATCAAGAAACCATAGCATTCACCATCTATATATACTGGTAACTCAAACTAAGTTCCTTAACAACAACCCAGACTAAGCAATTCCTCCTACTTTGAAGATCTTGGGACATGGTAACTAGGGCTGTAAGTGATGTAACTGTGGTCATTATCCAGGTAGTAGACCTTTTGTGGTGCTATAACCCCTATAAAGCCGCTATACTCCCGAAGCTCACCCTTCAGTTCCCCAAGATACAGTGGGCAAGTAGGAATACGTGGCCGACCTAGGGATTTAGTAAGTAAAGTTGAAGGGCACCTGCAGGGATCTACAGGACTATCAGGGTTTAGAGTTTAGTGTGCTTGGAGGATCTTGGGACTTAGTAAGTAAGGCGGGGTTATAAGCGTTGATGTCTATAGTTACCTTGCTTATAGCCCCAGCTACTAAGCCCAATGATCCTTCGAGTACCGAGGCTTGATGATAAAGGGTTTCTTACAAAAGGGCCTACAGGGTTTTAGAACCAGGGTTTTGCATTTGGTTTTAGGAGCCCTTACGCATGTTATTACAAAAGGCTCCTTCATCCACTCTGTACCCCCTATTCAGCGGATTGACGCCACTCGTTAAGCCGCCTAATTAGTCTGAAGCTTGGATTTCTATTTCAGGATGCTTCGGGTTTAGGGTTTACGGGTTTCAGGTTCAGGGTTTAAGGCTTAATGTTTAGGGAAAAACATTCTTGAGTGCGTGAACTGTTTGCATCTTATTAATACAGGGCTCGGAACTAGCAGTATGTCCCCTTATAGCGCTTGTGCACATCCAAAATGCCGCCAAAACATGGTTCAAATTATTCGGACACTGGTATTACTTTGTCATGTGCGAGGAGGACGGCGCCGCGAAGCTGTTGGAGACCGAAAGGTTATTATGAAATCCGGAGGCGAGTGACTACTTCATTCAGTCAAGCGCCGTCGGCATGGCAGGTCAAGGAGTCATCGGCGCCGATCTCCATGAATATGGGGCCTTACTAATTACCTATAACTAGTTTGTTGTTTTTTGGGGAGGTGGGTCCGTACTACATTTATAGTACAATATAGCAACTTGAGCCCGGTCAGGGCTGGAGAGTTCGAAAGCGTGTTCAGCCGGTTAGGGGTCTCTGATCTAAGTTGGATATCTTATGGTATGCTTGTAACAAGGAGCCCTGAAAAGGAATAACCCTGAGCCCCCAACCCATATAAGGAACCCTGACCAAGAATCAGCTTAGGTAGCCGTAAGGTATCGCGAGAATACTTTCCCCGGAGAGGACGAAGATCACTTGCCCGACTACAGCAAGCCCTAAAGTGGCCCTCAGCCCTAAACTAGGGTTTATCGTTTAGGAAAACCATGAGCGAAGTTGAAAGATAGAGACCCTGGTGTAATCCTCACCCAGACCACCGGGAGGATCCAAAAAGTAGATCCCTTAATGGGGGGTTCCTATAAAGTACCCTTTGTAGTATAGGGCCCCAAATTAGGGGATCTTCTTTCTAGATCCTCCGGGGGATCTGGGCAGAGGCTGTCATTGCAAAAATAGGCACAAACACGAACAAATCAACCCTCTGCCCTGAAATCGTAAACACTGAACCCTCCAACCTTTAAGCCCGAAGCTCAAAGCTGTGAACCCCTACAGCCCAAACCCTCAAACACAAAACCCGCAAGCCCAAACGCGAAAATGCTAAACCCCAAGTCCAAAACCCCAAAGTATGTCCGAATTTAGGCACGCTCTTGCGGTACCTGGAACCTCCGACCCAGTCTCCGACCCTCTAAGTACCTTTTTCCAGGTGGGTGGTTGTCAAAATTAGGGTCCCTTTTTGGGTCCTTATTATAGTACGGCACCTAATATTCGGACCATAATTTTGACAACTACCCAGGTATCAGCAGCGTGGCCAGCCTGCGCAGTGGGCATGGTGTACCTTGGCTTGCAGCACAAGGAGCCAAACAGCAGAACCCGCAAAAAGATCAAGAGAGTCTGATATGTTCGTAAGCTCTAGGGTTCAGGGAGTATTTGGAGGGTGGGGTGACTTGGCCCAGCAGTGGAGTAGGTAACCTTTAACCTTTTTTGGGTAGTCGAGTCCCTATACAATCCGTATTTAACCAAAAGGTTAACCTTTAGTTCCCCATGATACCCGACAAGTAGGTTGGTGAGTAGTTGCTCAGGGTTGCTCTCAAAGGAGCTTATAAGGGCCTTTTAAGGGTTGCCATACGGGTTCATAGGCGTGAGGATTTCTGGGGTTTAGGGTGCTTCGTAGCATTCAGCAGGTTCTAAGCAGGACGACCCGAGCACGGATCCCCTCTATGGCACTGCGAATTCTACAACTAGGTAGGGCTTTGGGACATTTTATATTTGCCCTTATTGGGCTTAAGAGGATCTTACCTACTAATATTTTTCAAAGGCTTTAAAAGCACCTCCTAGACAATAGTATACCTCAAAACCCTGTTCGAACCCCACATGTTACCTACTAGTTGAGTCCCCCGACTTTCCAGGTCAGGGTCCACTAGTCGGTTACAAGCAGTTATCGGCAGAGCGCTAATACGTGATTTCCTTCATGGGTTGCCTTTATGGGTTCTTTTAATGAGGTATACAAGAGTTCGATAAACCTGGCTTTGTAGGTTTTAGTTTAGGGCCCGGACCAGTTACCAGTATCATTCCTCTGTTTCTTAGGTATCATTGTAGTGTAATATGTCCCCGACACATGCAAGAGACCATTGCACCAACGGGATCTGCCAGACTTCACCGGCACGATGCGACCTGTGCGAGACTGTGGCCGCAACTTGGGCCAGACATTCTTCAAAAAATTTTGCCGCTGGGAGGCAAGAGCAGCAGCGATCACCCTTTCGACACAGCGACGGTCAGAATGCTGCTGTGCCTTGTGGCTTTGGGCGGTGCGGCCTGTCAGCAGGACCGCTTGCTGCAAGCACAAGAGCAAGATGTGCAGAGGTTCATGCCGTCGGTCTTCCATGTGGCAAGAACCATTTCTCTGACACAAGACTTCAAAACGAAGTATTCGGCCACCCTGCAAGAGCTCTTGGAGTACATCTGCACCTTGCCACAAAGCCAGTGGTCTTTGTCAGAGACTGATGCCACCGAAGCTGCTGTAAAGGCGAGCAAGATGAAGTTTTCCCGGCCAGCTGAACAAGAGTCAATCCTTGATGGCGCTACTGACTTGGTGCGTTTTTGGATTCGGCAGCTCGGCAACAATCCAGCGGATTGAAATCGAAGATTCTTGTTCTAATTGTTTTCTTCATTCTAATGCAGGTATAACCTATCAACTCGCGTGGCCTCAACTACTCATAGCCTACCTCGTCCCAATTTCCGTAGCTCCTCTACCCTCAACCCTAAACTCTAAAAAGCCCTGACAGAATAGGCTCCCTTTCCAGGGGGTCGTCATAGCAACTTGCAGCAGCTCTTCGTAGTTAGAATTTAGAACAGGCAACCTTGAACGTTTTTGGAGTATGATAACCCGTCCAACATCTATAAACTCCCGAAGACCCCCCCAACTGCAACCTAGAGGCCTGAATAATTTGAAACGCTGCGCGTCGTCCGCCTCGGCCCGGCTGTACGCGCATGCGGCGAGTGGCTACTATCTGCAGCAAGCTCTTGTAGGAAAAAGTAACAGTTGGAATCGCACTTATAGTAAAAGTAATGTTCATAGCAACACGAAGCAGGGGGCAGGGGCGGGGGAGGGGGGCATCGTGCTTTCGGGTGCAGGTGTTGTCCGGGCTTTGAAAGTTTTTCAGGCTGAGGCTGTAGGGTTAGGAATTCAGGTTTGAAACTCCCTTGGTACTGCAGCCTTACAAGCGAGCCCCAACTTTTCAGGCTGGGGTTAGGGTGTAGGGTTAGGAGTTCAGGTTTGAAACTCCCTTGGTACTGCAGCCTTAAAGGCGCGCCCCAAGAGATGAACATGCTGCATTACAGTCCGGTGTCGTCGGAAATTCCCAGAAAGCTCGCACCTGTCAGCGGGGGGGGGAGGGTGGGGGAGGAGGGGAGGCGGGGGGGGAGGGCGGGGGAGGGGGGCGCGTGCTTTCGGGTGCAGGTGTTGTCCGGCTTTGAAAGTTTTTCAGGCTGGGGTTAGGGTGTAGGGTTGGGAATTCAGGTTTGAAACTCCCTTGGTACTGCAGCCTTACAGGCGAGCCCCAATTTTTCAGGCTGGGGTTAGGGTGTAGGGTTGTAGGGTTAGGCATTCAGGTTTGAAACTCGCTTGGTACTGCAGCCTTAAAAGCGAGCCCCAACACATAAAGATGCTACATTGCAGTCCCGTGTCGTCGAAAACTCCAGAGAGCTCGCACCTGTCAGCGAGCGGAGGAGGGGCGGGAGGGAAGAGGGGAGGGGGGGGAGGGGGGGAGGGAGGGGGGGGGGGGGGGGGGGGGGGGGGGAGGGGAGAGGGGATAAGAGGTGGGGCGGGGGTGTTCCTTAACAGAATTTATAGCATAACATACGAATAATATAGGGGCCTAAATAATTACCTATACTATTTTTGGGGGTTCTTATTACAAATGTAGTATAATGGGCCCCCCAACCCTATTCTAATTATTAAGGCCCCTGCGTTAAACCCGAAACTCCCATAACCCGCGAAACCCTAAACTCGCAAAGCCCGACTATTCAGCGCCTCTTCTTCTAAGGACCCCCAAGTTAGGAGATCCCGATGAAACTTTCCTACTGTTTATTAGGGTAGTGGGGGTGTTCAGCAGGGGCTTATATAAAACCAACATAACAAGCCCCTACTTTGTAAAGCGTCTTTGGACACGATTTGTTAGACCGTTGCAACCTTAGTTCCCCAACACCCAACCTTTAAACATTTTGGGTTCTTATAGTTTAAGCGGAATCGGAAAGTTAAACCTTGTATTTCTGTGGCTCATTGGGGTAGTAAGTAACCGAGGGCACTCCACAAGCCATCCCCCGGCGGGAGCGCCGGTCCTCCGTGTGGAGCATCCAAAGAGTCCCGGCAGACTCGTTTCTTTTCGGGTTTAGGGTTCAGGGTGTAGGGTTTAGTGTTTCTTTTTGGGTTTAAGGTTCAGGGTGAAGGTTTTTGGGTTTCTTTTGGGTTTAGGGTTCAGGGTGTAGGGTTTAGGGGCTTAGGGTTCAGGGTGCTTCCATGTGAGAGGCGGATATTGATACTCGATAATTCACTACAAGGCACCATAATGCGCCGTAACATTCTGCCCTGTTCTAGTTCGAGACATCAAGTACCCACCATAAACCTTAAAGATCCCTTATCAGATCCCTTAAAGGATCCCTTTAGAACCCTATAGGACCCTTTCAAGGATCCCTTAAAGGGGAATGGAACATGCTGGAGGCCCTGTTTCTCGAGTCTTTTCTGTCTAGTTATTCCGACGAGTCTGATAGGGCTTTGTGGGTTTCATGCGGGTGAGGTGGTGAAAGGGGTTGGTGGTAGTATAGCGCTATTTATGTGGTTTATATGGTAGGAGTTGACGTATGAGAAGGTGTTTGTGGGTTTGGGAGTTGGGTTGGCGATTTTGGGTTTTGGGGCTGGGTTGCGGGTTAGGGTGGCCACTGCTTTGGCTGAAGTTCGAGGAAGCCTTGTCTAATGAAATACAACTGTCGCCTGGCCACGATCACCCAGAGCACATGCATCTTTTATCATGGAACCCTATAATTAAAAAGTCTAAAGCATCTTTACAATGCCTCCCAACACTTCCTTCGATAAATGCAACACTATACCCCCCGAACAACACCTTATGAGATCCATGAGTAACAAGTAAAGGACTGAAATCCTGAAGCCCGAGACCCCTCAGCAACAGATAGGCACCTGAAAGTTTCTCTTTGACGCCAGATCAAACAAGCCTTCAGGAACCCTTCACTTCTTGCGTAACCGCAAACACCCCCGTAACAAACGCAAAAAGCTTCCCTACTATGGAAGCTCTGAGCCTTCATTAAACCCGAAACCCATGAAGCCGTAAGCCTCCTAGAATCCGGAAACCTGAAATCCTCGATACCCTAAAACCTGAACACCTCAAAACCTTCAAGCCCCTGACACACTTTCAAAACCCTAAAGCCCATATGGGAGTTTCCGAAAATAGGGGACCCTAATATGGTACCCTATATAGTAGGATCCGTATTATAAGGACCCCAAAGTAAGGTTACCCCTATTTTTCGGAAACTCCCATACACACACACCCCAAGAGTTTGTGAGCCTTGAAGTCTAGTCCCAAACAACACCGGGCAGGGGAGAAGCTTGGTATAGTAACCTGATTAAGAAACCGTGGTCCTACAACCGCAAGACTTAGTTCCCCGATACCCAAAATGAGCGAACACCCAATAGGACTGAAAGTTGAAACACTTCGGGGCTTATGGAGTCAGGAAGTTTTGGAGTTTGGGGTGGCACAGGGGTTTAGGGCCCTTTAACCCTAAGACACTGGAACCCCTAAGAAACCCGAACCTTTTGGTGTTTCTTAGGGGTTTCAGGGCTCTTAGGCTTAGAGGCTTTAGGGGAGTTTGAGGTTCAGGGTCGAGGAGGATCTAAACCGAGGCGCCCCACCTCCGGAATAAAGGGTATAGCTTCCCGAGGAGTACCCTTTTGCCCCTTCTGTCTTGGGGGGTCTCCCCTTATTAAAGCAGAAGGCTACTCAGGAACCTAGGTGTTGTAGGGCGTTTTCGCGGTGATTCTAGGGAGTTTAGACGGTTTTCATGGGGTTCTATACCCGAGTGAAATTCTTATAACAACCCTAATACAGGAGTCGGAAGTCTTAGTAATAGTATCCCCTACATTACTTGGGAGGATATATAAAGCCCCTACACCCTGAGCCCTACGCCCTAAACCCTAAAACCCTGTCCCCGACATTCCTTGGGAGGATCTATAAAGCAGATCCGGTAATTTGGCATTTTACAGGAACCATCGAAAAATTTAAAGGGTGTAATATAGTTAGAAGAGGCTTTCTTCAAGGGTTCCCGTTAAAGGGGTCTATAAGGATTACTGTAAGGGGTATTCTGGGGGTTTAGTATAGGGGCCTAAATAATTACTTACAGTATTTCGGGGTTCCTTAGTGTAATTCTAGTATAATGGGCCCCAACACATTATTCTACTTATTCAGGCCCGTATATTCGTAGTGCCAGCCCGAAGTTCGAGTTTCTCGTTAAAGATGTGCTGTAATAAGCCCCAAGACTATGCTCCAATCATTGAGGCCCCTGTGTTGTGGGCTTCGGCAGGGATGCTAAGCGGTCTTGTGTGGGTTTGTAAGGTGTAGCTTTTGAGTTTTGTCTGCGACAATACTGTTCCTAGCAACCTGAATAAGGATAACGAGGACTCATATCGGAAGCCGCACGGACGGCAAAGCCTAATCCTGGACTCCGGGTCCTGTGAAGTGCTGGCAAAATGAGCGGCGGCTCTGCATTTTGAGAGCCACAATCTTGCACATACGAGCACACCAACTCAGCTTCAAGAAGGGATGCTCCTTGAAGGAGCAGGAGCTAGGCTAAGATAGACGATGCGTTCCGCGCTCCTTTGTCAAGAGATACTTCTCAAAACAAAAGGTCTAGGCTTTGGGGTTTGGGGGAGCACCCGTTGCAGCATATAGTGGCTGATGGCATACGGTACGTGGCCGAAGTAGGGTGGCCAGGATCACAGAATCGAGAATGTAAGATTATGTCATTGCGAAATTTATGACAGCATCCGCATAGCGTTGCGATAGGCTTCTTAAGCGAAAAACACTTGGGGCCTTAGGGTTTCCATGGTGTGGATTTAAGTGATCTTCCTTGCAGCATATTGTGGCCCATACCAGCATCGTATTCGGTACATGGCGTAAATAATTGTGAATAGGATCCCCAGAAAACAGAGTCGGGGTAGGTACCCGGACTTGACGTGAAATCCCGAAGTGTACCCCTACTCAAAACCAACTTGTGAAATCCCGCGCACATCCACAATGCCTTGCAAGACCGTTTTTTTGTTTCATGATACTTCTAAATCCCCAGCCAGTACCCTTATGCCTCATCATGTCATTGTTAAGGTCTCTGTTTGATATTGTAACGTAGAAAACAGCGGCCCCCAAGCTCAAGGAGGTTAAGCCCAGAAGACGGGCACGGCTTCGTTTTGAATAAACCCAACTGCACCTGTAACCTTCGAAAAACGCTAAAACTCCCAAAGAACCCTATACCAACAATGACCCGTAGGGTGGTCCTTGCGAAAGCCAACATCAAGCCAAGGCGCCGAGTTGCCACCCGAGCTCAAAGCCCTACATGAAGGCTCGGGTGTAATTCAGGATTTACGGTATATGGTTCGGGGGCTCTGGCAAGGGTTCTTCTGTCGGGCCTTTGCGCTGCCACCAGCGCTTTGGCATCAGTCATTTAGTAAGTAGATCATAGCCATAGCTGAAGTTGTAGCACTTACGACTGAGACACCGTGATTTCTAGATGACCGGAAAACCCAGAGCGGCATTTTAATCAGGTTCCTGCAGTACTGAGAGTGCCAAGTCCCCGAGTGTCTGAGCCAAAATATTTAAGCCCTAACCAATAAGCTCGTCCGTTTCAGAAATGTAAGCTTAGCCAAGGTCCCACAGAAGCTCCCCGGAGTCTCCCCAGAGCTGCCAATATGGCTTAAAGGATCGAATGTTGGCGCCCTTATCCCTGGAAGGGCATCTTAACCAATAACTCCGAAAGGCTTGGGTTCAGGGATTCTAGGGGTTCAGAATTTAGGGTTTAAGGATTTTAGAGGTCTAGGGGCTCAGGGGTTTGAATCCGAAAATGTCAGATCTTGCGCAGGGCATACAATGAGCCGGGTGAGCTTGAAGACTGAGCAGGACTGTCTGGGAATGGATTACGGGGACTACTATTGGGACTTTTCTACTATTGGGATCCATCCCCGCATTCCCTAACTCCTACACATAGCAACCCTTAACGTTATGAGACCCAGTCCCTGCAAACCCTTGGGATGGTCTGAAAACATTATTTGTGTGAGGTTTTGTGTGAGCGAGAGTGTGAGCGGAAGTGTGAGGCTGAGTGTGAGCGGGGATTCTGAGTGCGAGCGGAAGTGTGAGCGGGAGTGTGAGATGGAGTGTGAGTGGGAGTGTGAGAGGCCCATTCATGCTCACACTTCCGCTCACACCCCCGCTCACACTTCCGCTCACACTTCCGCTCACACTCCCGCTCACACTCCCGCTCACACTTCCGCTCACACTCCCGCTCACACTTTTTGCTGTAAATACAGCAGAAAGTGTGAGCGGGAGTGTGATCGGAAGTGTGAGCGGGAGTGTGAGCGGGAGTGTGAGCGGAAGTGTGAGCGGAAGTGTGAGCGGGGGTGTGGGCAGGCGTGTGAGTCGCCCATTCATGCTCACACTTCCGCTCACACTCCCGCTCACACTTTCTGCTGTGTTTTACAGCAAGAATGTGTGAGCCGGAGTGTGAGCGGGAGTGTGAGCGGAAGTGTGAGCGGAAGTGTGAGCGGGAGTGTGAGAGGGAGTGTGAGCGGGATCCGGGGTGTGAGTGGCTCATTCATGGTCAGTCACACTTTCGCTCACACTCAACCTCACACTCAACCTCACACTTCCCGATGGGCTGGAAATCCATGCTCACACTTTCGCTCACACTTTCGCTCACACTCAACCTCACACTCAAACTCACGAAATAAACATTTCCTGGAATCCAAGCACTTGCAGGGTACCGGGTGTCACAACCTTAATGGAACCCTTAAAGGAACCCATATAGTAACCCCTATGGTAACCCTTATAGTCACCCTTAAAAGAACCCTGAAAGGAACCCCTATAGTAACCCCTAGAGTAACCCTTTATAGTAACCCTTAATGGAACCCCATTCCCTACTGAGAACCAGACAGAGGGCAGTGGGCAACAGTTGTTAGCGGCCCGGGGCTCCAGAGACGTAGTGCTGCAGTTTTGGTGGTTTCTTAAATCCCCACTACCTAACCTTTAAAGGGACCCTTAGGTTCTGTAGAGTTCCTTTAAAGGGATCTATAAGGGCTCCCTTAAGGGATCTACCTTAGATCCCCACTACCTAACATTTCAACTTTTGGGTTCTTAAATTTTAGTAGGAATCGGAAAGTTTAACCTTGTATTTCTGTGGCTTATTGGCATAGTAAGGTTTCGATGAGGTGTGGGGATCGACAGTGGGGTTATCCTAGCATACCCCAACTTTCAGAATCTACGTATGCAGCAAGCCCTCGTCCTGAACCTTATTTTCAACCCCAGAGATGTCTTACTAGTCCTAGCAAAGGCCAGACCCAAGCTGCAAGCTTTAAGCCCTCGTCCTAAACCTTATTTTTCAACCCCAGAGATGTCTTACTAGTCTTAACTTTTAAAGATCTGTAGTAAATGCTGGTTAGGAACCTGGAGATCTGAGGTTGATATTCAGGGATCCTTGCACGACTAATGTAGGGTTTTACGGCTTTTAGGGCTTGAGGGTTTAGGGCTTTAAGTGTTGGGGTAAAGCCTGAATGACTGCAAGTAAGTGCCCTAGGTTCCTTCTGATAGTTGTACTATAAGTAATTATACCTGTGTGCTCCTTTCAATAACCTTCATGTTTATGAAGAAATAGGGCGTGCGTATTCTCCATATTCATGGCAAGACTTCAAGCTAAGATGACTTTCGGGGCCTTCATGATCACAATGGGGTTTAGGGGGGTTTGTTATGTAAAGTATAGTACGGGAGTTTCCGAAATAGGGGACCCGAATATAGTACCCTGAATAGTAGGATCCTTATTATAAGGACCCCAAAATAAGGTACCCCTAATTTTCGGAAGCTCCCATATACTTCAAACCCCATTATTTTCTCATTTTGGAAGCCCCACTGGGTTCTTGAAAAGGCTGCGTCTACGTCGGATCCAAGCCACGGGGAACCTGGTTTTCTGATGTTTCGGAAGCTTTCAAAACCACGGAGCTTCGCTGATATCTTCCTTTTGCCCAAACCACCGGGAGGATTCAAAGAGTCGATCCCTGAATGGGGGCTTCCTATAAACTACCCTTCGTAGGGTAGAGCCCCAAGTTAGGGGATCTACTTTCTAGATCCTTTTGGGGGTCTGGGTAAGGGCTCAAGGGTCCCTTTCGGGGATCTGTAGCGGCACACTTAGGGTTTAGGGCTAGTTGGAGGATCATGGGACTTAGCAATTCGGGTCATAAATTCAAAAAGTATCGCCTACTTATAGTTGCAATTACGGTATTTATAACCTTACTTGATAAGTCCCATGATCCTCCAAGCAGGGAATCTGTGCACCCCTCCGCGACCCCTAAACCCCTAACCCCTAATATAGCGGCCTTTGATGGTTAGAATGAGGTTTCGGGTCCCATTCTACTATACTGATAATAAGGACCCCCAACATGGTATTGGTAATTATTTAGGCCCCTTGTACTATAGTACCCTTATAGACCCATTATAGTAATCCTTATAGATCCTTTTAAAAGAACCCGCAAAATAGTATAGGTACTTAATCATTTAGGCACCTACTTTAAGCCCCTGAACCGAAAGCTCCTCGTGAGTGGCCTCGCCCCCGTCCGAAACTCCAGATGGTTCCACCCCTCAGCCCTGAAGGTTTAGGGTTCAAGGGTTTAGGGTTTAAGGGTTTAGCGTTTGGGGGGAACCCCCGTAAAGCCTCCCTAGTAGTAGAGTAGGTAACCTTTTACCTTTTTTGGGTAGTATAGTCCCTATGAAACCCCTACATACCCAAAAAGGTTAGCCTTTAGTTCCCCATGATACCCGACAAGTAGGCCTCCGTACCCCTAAAAGCTTCTGGATCCTACATTGTTGCGTGTAGGCCATCAGAAGACCGCGATTTGGGCCTTATACTGTAGCGACCCTGAGAAATTTGGGATCCTGCTTCAGCACAGGATGATGTTCAGAGCACGACGACAGCACGCACAGATCGCATCCCGGCCACCGTAGATCCCCTAGTTTAACCCGATACGACTAAAGGGTACTTTATAGGAACCCTTGGGGGGTCCTAAACCCTGAACCCCCAAGGGTGCTTTCTGGGAACCCAGAGAGCCCAATGCCCCTTAATTAAGGAATATGGCTTAAATTATATAGGGCTTCATACTATGGTTTAAGCTATATTCCTTAATTAAGGGGTATTGGGCTCTCTGGGAACCCCTTGTGAGATCTACTTGTTGAATCCTCCCAGGGGTCTGGCTAGACCGCTGAAGTTTTGGTTGCTTAGGAAAGAAGGCGCCGTGTTAAGGTTTCTAGTTCAGCTGCGTTATCTGTTGGGGTGTAGGCCTTGGTTCAGGCGTGTTAGGGTTTACAGCAGAAGTAGCAGTAATCATAATGGTAAAAATAACTGCAGTTTTAAGAAAAGGCAATAGTAATAGTAATGATAACAGCAGAAGTAATAATAATCATAATGAGCCCACAAGTGTTTTATGCAATAACAATGGAAGATCCTCGGGCTTGCCGTAGGACCCCTGAAAAAAAGTAGGCGCACTGTAGACGTACGAAAGAGGCTGAACCTGAAGGGAATCTTAGATCCCCAATACCTAACCTTTCAACTTTTTGGGTTCTTACAGTTTCGTAGGGATCGGAAAGTTTGACATTGCATTTCTGTGGCTTATTGGCGTAGGAAGAGGCTGAACCTGAAAGGAATAGAAGGCATTGTGATCAACAGGCGGTTGAAAAAGAGTCTGGTTTTTTCACTTGGGGAAGCGGGAGGGGCGCCGAGTGCGGTGTTTTCTTCCTGGGGTTCCAGAACGGCCCCAGCACCCCCGGCCCGATAATATAGGTGCACACCAAACCCGCATCCGCGGCTTGGGCGGTCGTAGAGTCCGGTGCCCGTGTCATTGACCAAGTAGTGTGTCCCACACCATGAGCACTGCCACAGACATGCAACTGGACTGGATACTTTGCGAACATGCTCATCAAGTTGCAGTGTGTGTTTGCCAGGTTTCCTAGGGCTTTTGGTGTAATTAAGACAGAACCGCACAAAGAAACAACCCCGAAACCCTAAAGCCCTGATTGGTCGCTCCTATCCGAGACCACTCTATCTTCGCGCTGCCGGAGGAGAAGGATGACGAGGTAGGTTTGACCACGGCCTCTGGCTTCGCATCAGGGTTCAGGGGTTTAACGGTTAAGGGGTTTGGGGTTTGATATAGGAACCTGATTAAGAAACCTTGTGCCACTCTTAGAGTTCCTCGTGTGAATCCTACTAGGTTTGGTGTTATAGGCCCAGGGTTCCCTAAACCCTAAACCCTAAACCCTACACCCTACACCCTAAACCCTACATCCTAAACCCTAAACCCTACACCCTAAACCCTAAACCCTAAACCCTACACCCTAAACCCTAAACCCTAAACCCCAATCAGGTTCCTACATTAGGGGTTGAGGAGCGGGCGGCTTCAGGGCTCTGGGGTGTAGGGTTTAACCATCCCAGGGCGCCTTCATATTAAACCCTAAACCCTAAAGTCATCACTATCAGTCTGTAATACAGAAGCATCCTTTAAGCTCCTGTTTGTATAACTGTAGCAAACCGAAAACCTATTCTGATTGCTAAGGCCCCTTTATTTCATGGCAGAGAGCATCAGGTTGTTCCATTCTGTTCTTCGTAACATCAGTTGTAAGCCATGCGGGCTTGGATGTGGAGTTATCGTACACGCATTCCCTTTCATTGTGGGATCCCTCTCCTTTGATGTTACAAATCAGAACAGGGCGCTCTTGCTTGGAGGATCTTGGGACTTAGTAAGTAAGGTTTAAGGCCCCCTTTAGGGGTTCCTTCGGGGTACCAAATCAGAAAATTAGGGTTACCTTATCTTGGGGGTCCTTATCATAAGGACCCGCCTATTTAGGGTACTACATTAGGGTCCCCTATGTTCGGAAACTCCCATAAGGGTTGGGTTTCTGGTCAAGGGTACTTGGAGGATCTTGGGACTTCGTAAGTAAGGCTACAAGTACCCAGAATGGAGATAGAAGTAAACATAGCTATAGCTACCTGTTCTATAACCCTAGGTACTAAGTGACATGATCCTCCAAGCGTTCAGGCGATTGGCGGGGAAGCTAGTCTTACGTGGCGATACCCTGATGCTCTAACTCCTGGTCAGTTTTGGCTTCGGGTGAAGCTTCCACCGTGTCTTTCTAGATATGCCGGGTGGCCTGTTAGCCAACAACATGCTCGTGGATGTCCGGAACTCGTACCGTAGGTAAAACACGGTTGATGATTTAAATCCTGCATTACCTTAAGGGCCCTAAACTATGAGAATGATGGTATATTGCATATTATGGGTCATGCAGGATTTATATCATCAACCGTAGGGTGTGAAGCCTTTCATCCCTAAGCTTGTGAAAGGACAGGCATCGTAGAGCAAAGTCGAACACTGTTCAGTGGGTGGTTGTCAAAATTATGGTCCCTTTTTGGGGTCCTTATTCTAATGCGGCACCTAATATGTAGGGCAGGGTACCCAAAGCAGGGACCTTAATTTTGACAACTACCCCAGTGCTTTCGGGCCCTCCTGCCTAAATACGATATCCAGGAAGCCCAAATACTTTTCATCGAAGCAGCAGCGAATTCTGGCAATGCCCTTCTGATTCCCTAAACCCTAAGCCCTGATGACTAAGGCCCATAAAGCTGATCTGCCGTCTAAAACCCGTGAAAAGCTCCAAAGCTTAAACCGTGAAGCCTAAACATTCCACTCTTTAACAAGACCCCGATAAAGCCCTATCTTAAGTTCTGAGGGGATACACTTTACACTTCTTGGGATAATATTATCCACTATAAAACTGAAAGTGTACCCTGTTGGGGGCTTATGAGCTCAGGAATCAGGAACGAAGCTATACCCTCCTAAGCCCCCCGCGGAGGCAATAGCTTGAGCCCTTGAAAGGACCCAAGAGGCCCAAGAGGCCCTCAGACCCTATAGTAAATACCTCATGGTGATCTTGTGGTACCCTTATAGTAGTCTTATGGTACCCTTATAGTAATCTTATGGTGCCCTTATAGTAATCTTATGGTGCCCTGATTGTAACCCTATATAAACCCCCCAAACCCTATATGAGGCCAAGAGACCTCCAGGTTCATCGTGTTTGCGCCATGTCGGCGCTTTTCTTTGCCGTCCGTCGCCACCGGTTTCCGGAGATCCTGAGATCCCAGCAAGGAGCAGCACTAACCCACCTTCTATGGCAGCACCCGGAAACTCGCAACCCTGTAGATTCCAAACATTCCTGTCTTCTGAAGGAAAGAACCTCTAGATGAGCCCTGGTTGAGAGCCTGCTCTGATAGGTCCCAGATTGAGAGGACAGACAGAAAGCGATAGCTTGCAGAGCCCTAAACACCTGTTTTGCACCATACTCTCCGAACTGGAAGCCAGATTTGGTTGAGGTTTGTTGGAGTAGGCTGAGGATTTACAGCTTGCCCAGGCGCTTGGAAGTTTCGAGTTTCGTGGGCGGGTTTTCCAAACATCCGCTCGGGATGGCCATGTGGTTGCTTCGCAGCATTTCGGGCGAGGAGGCGCGGTGGCAGAGGTGGTCCCAGGAGCTAATCTAGGGTTTGCATAGCCTGGAAAAAGCGAGATAAGGGAGGGAGGAAGGGACAGCAGGGTGGGTAGGTGGGTAGGCAAGTACTGTAGATCCTGTAGGTGGCAAGTAGGTGGAGTGGGTATTTTGGTTTAATTCTTTTAGGGTTTCAGGGCTGTGGAGTTTGGGTTTGGGGTTTCCGGGGGTTCATTTGCTGTTGTTCCTCGGGGCCCACAAGTGTGTTGGAATCCGCCGACCGAGTACGTAGCTTGTAAGTATGACTATCAGTGCCCCCAACGGTGTTATCAGGTTGTCTGTCTAGACCTGCCCTACTGACAAGCTGCTTACTACGAAGTCCTTGTTTCTCTAAGTAAGTATGGTGTTGCAACAAGTTCCGTCTTTTCATAAAGCTGTAGAGCAGATACGACAGCATGCGGTCCTTGTTTCTTTATCTTGGCAGCAATCCGTGGCGCAGTCATTCGTTGAGCTTTCAACTACAAGGGGTCCTCTGGCAGGCTGGAGAAGTGACTATGCCGGCAGGCGGCGAGCGTCAAGAAGACCCGTGCCAAGAAGCGGAGAGGTGCCGTAAACATAGCGCGGACCCTATGCTGGACTTTCCTCAAGCAGCCGCCCTGCCTGACGTGCAGAAATGGAAGTTCCTTGAAGGTCGGCCTGTCGGAAGCACAGAAAGCGCAGTCACCTTTTTTAAGAATCTAGGCCGTGAGCCCTTATTCCCTTTTTTAGGGTTCAGGTTGCCTTATAACCCCTTCAATCCAAAAAGGGTTCCCTTCTTAATCCTAGGTTACTCTTAGGCTTAGGAATTCACGAGCTATGCCTTGAATCCGAAAGCTCCACAGCCAACGCAGTCCACATATCATAGCCGGCAAGCCATGAGCCCCATGAAGCCCAAAATAGTCACAAGAACCCCGCGCGAAACCCAAAAAAACCAAGCCTGAGGACAAACATACCTTAAAAGGGGTTGATGGACTGGAGGTTACTATAAGGCATATTTATCGGGGAAAAGGGGCCTGAAAAATTATGTGAAGTTTCCACCACCCGAGTGTTGCAGGAAGGAGCATTTGCCATTCTTGTCATTGTCGGTACGCACAAACTGAGCGAACGTCACAATCACCATTATCAACAGCAGCATAGATGGTTTTGCAATCTGTCGATGTTACGCGACAGCCAAACGAAAGAGGTACAAGATGAATACGACAGGTGACACTTGAACAACTTGCACAACGATCCAAAGAACATCCGTTACGATTATTTCGCATTGGGCGAATCGTCGCTCAAAGTGCCCGAAGCAACAAAACAAGAAGTACCCTGCACACTAATCCGCCTAACACGAAAACCTGAAGCCCAAACGCACCTGCAAGAAGCCGCCAAACACTCTGCCTAACTAAATCCTGCAATCCACCTCCCCCCCCCCTCCGCCCCTTCCGTCCCCCGCACCTCTTCAAAAAAGATCAAAAAAGGCTGAAACCCCTAGACCCGAAACCCCAAACCCTAAACCCCCTTAAACCCCAAACCCTAAACCCACCCTAACCCCCTTAATCCCAAACCCTAAACCCCCCCCCAAAAAAAAGCAGCTCGAAAGCCTTCCCCGCCGCCTTTTCAGCCCCAGAGCGGGACATCGGCCGCCGGGGCGCGCAGAGCCCAGCCGGGGCTAGGGGCCTGGTACTTGGAGGGTCGGGGGACTTAGGAACTGGTTATTTTAGGGACTTATAAGTGCCATAACTCCAATTAGGGTCCCTTTTAGGGTACTTATAAGTCTACTTACTACCTACTTACTAAGTCCCCCGACCTTAAGGGGGGGTGGTTCAAGGGGGGAGGGTACTAGGGAGCTTTGGGGAACCTTAGGGAAGCTTAGGGAGTATTGGGGAATAATGGGGATTACTAGGTTACCTACCCCCCTTGGACCACCCCCCCTTAAGGACATCCTAATGGTAGGGTTCCTTTACCCAGACCCCCAAAAAGTAGATCCCTTCATGGCGGGTTCCTATAGAGGATCCTTAGTAGTATAGGGCCCCAAATTAGGGGATCTAGTTTCAAGATCCTTCCGGGCTTCCTTTACCCAGACCCTCGAGAGGATTCCTTAAGGATGTTATGGGTTTGGGGGTTTGGGGTTCAGGGCGGCACCACTACCCGGACCCCCGTGGGAGGATCCAAAAAGTAGATCCCTTAATGGGGGTTCCGATAAAGTATTTAATATAACTATACTATGAATATACCCTACTTGGAGGATCATGGGACTTACTACGTATGGTTATAAGCACCTTAATTGGGGCTGTAAGTAGTTATAAGTATAGCTACCCTAATAATAACCCGTTTCGGTTTCCATAAGTTTCTAAGGAAGTACTTGGAGGATCATGGGACTTGGTAACTGGGAGTATTATTAGGGTAACTATACTTATAACCCCTCATGACCCTAATTAGGGTGCGTATAACCTTACTTACTAAGTCCCATGATCCTCCAAGTAGGGGCCTGGTAGGGTTCCTTTAAGGGTTCAGTTGAAGGGATCTCTAAGGGTTCATTTAAGGGATCTCTCTAGGGGTTCCTTTAAGGGGCCGTATTGTTTGGAGCAGGGTTTGGGGTTTAGGGTTTGGAGGTTTAAGGTTTGAGTGTTTAGGGTTTTGGGCTTGGGGTTTGGGTAAGTATATGGTTTAGGTTGCCTTTTCAGGGCTTGTTATAGAATCCGCCATCGGGGCTCAATTTAAAGCGAAGGGTTCTAAAGGAATCCGTGTTAGGGGCTGAATTAGGGGCTTGAGGAGGTTCCCCGAGTCCTGCCCCACCTTACCCGACAAGATGTTCAGTCCGCTTCAGCCCCAAACCCAAATCCAATTATGAAGGCCCCTATATTAAGTGTTCTGTGGAGTTGGGAGGGTTTGAGGTGTTTTTTTTCGTAAAGGGCTCATGGTTGAAAACGGATTGAAGGCCTTTAGGCTTTATTGGTGCATAAGGAAGAGTCCAGGAACGAATACAAGGACTACTATCAGAAACTATGTCGGGACTACTTGGAGGATCATGGGACTTAGTAACTAGGGTTATAAATAAGGTAACTATGCTTATAATTACATATAACCCCAATTAGGGTACTTCTAACCTTACTTACTAAGTCCCATGATCCTCTAAGTACCAACGGGGTCCACTCTCCAACTCCCCCAGAAACGCACCAGTTTGGGTACGGCCCCCACTCAGCAATAGTTGAATAACATTCATAATATAGATATATTAGTACCTTCATAGTAGCCCTATTATAGACTCTTACTGTAAGGGGGCAGTACCTACGCACCCGTACTGTAAGTTTATTGGTTTTCGCTTCAAGACTTTGAGAGTTTCGGTTTCCATAAAGTTTTAAGGAAGTTGGGTCTTGCTTACTTAGAGGATCATGGGACTTAGTAATTGGGGCTAAATAGGGTAACTATAGTTATAATTACTTATAACCCTAGTTACTAAGTCCCATGATCCTCCAAGTAGTGGCACAGTAAGGATATTGGGCTTTCCACCTTAGCATTCCGGAGTTTCAGATGTGAGGGGGGCGCGTCACAGTTTCAACCCTATCAGCATTTATGCAAGGATATCCATACCATTACAAGGGCGTTTATGTGGGACATTTGGAACCCGTGCTCATGTTTTTGCCGTAGTTGCCTTTATTTTTTGCTCTCGCTGCGCGCACCCAGGAAGCCAGTGAGTGAGTGAACCCCGGTTCCCGCAACGACAGCAAAACAAACGCGCCCCCACACAAAACAAAAAAAAAGCGCCGGGGCTTCACTCGCTTACTGTCTTCCTGGATCCGCGCAACGGTAAGAGTTTGTTTTTCTGTCGTTGGTTTTTGTGCTGTCGCTTCGGGGGCGTTCCGATGGGTAAGAGTGTCTTTTTTTGCTGTTTCTTGTTTGTTCTGCTGTCTTTGCGGGGGGGCGCTTGGTTTTTTGCTGTCGTCCCTGGGGGGCGCGTCCCCCAGGGCCCCTGCAACGACAGCAAAAAAACGACAGCAAGCAAAAATAAGCACTCTTACCCCCTATCCTTTTTTTTGCTTCTGTGCATTTTGGGGGGGCCCTTTGTAGACCCGCTTTAACCCCAAAAAGCCGTAAACAGGTAAAGCTCAGACCCAGAAACTCCTAAAACCCCCTAATTCAGCAGCATGCCTAAAATACAGAGGGATCCTTACTAGAATATATGGGTGGTTGTCAAAATTGTGGTCCCTTCTTGGGTACCCTAAATATTCGGTGCCGTATTATATTTGGGACCCAAAAAGGGACCATAATTTTGACAACCACCCATCTGCAGAACCATTGAGGGTATAGTATACCTTAACCTACCAAACCCTACCTTTTTGTAGGGTCTCATTATAAACCCTAATATGGAATTTGTAGGGACCCTACTTTTTTGTAGGTTTTGGTAGGTTAAGGTAGTCCTTGTTTCAAGGGGTGGTGGAGCCTGGGCCCAGTGGAGCCCTTGCCCTACGCAGACCCCCTTTGGAGGATCCAAAAAGTCGATTCCTATAAAGTACCCTTAGTAGTAGAGGGCCCCAAATTAGGGAATCTACTTTCTAGATCCTCCAAAGGGGGTCTGGGTAACTGCTGAGGCTTCGCTCATGCTTCGACTCGCGATGCTGTCCGGGCACTGCGCCTCGCTCCTGTTACAGGTAACAGCGACATCAGCGAGGTCTCGGTCGAGGTGATTGAACAGACGATGGGTTACTCCATTTACACCGCTGGTGATGCAAGGTCAGGATGGCGAGCTGCACTCAAGGCATTTGTTCGCACCGGTTGTGAAGCTGACCTCAGCCAGGCGGTGAAAGGCCTTCCAGTAGGGGGCAACCTGAAGAGGTCGTATTTCCTGTGCCATCCTTCCCGTTGCGTCTGCTTGGGGCCACTTCCGCCCTGCACAGCACGCCGCCGAGAGTGATAACTGAGAGGATGGATCCCTCTGCTTTCGGTCGTCACTCCTGGGTGAAGGTGCGAGTGAGGACGCAGGCGCTGTGAGTCTGCTATGGCTATTACTGCTGGGCTCACATCCCCTCTTTCTTAAGGCGGAGCGGTCTCTGCAGTGTCGGAAAGTCGGAAGGCAGTTACGGCTGAAGCTTAAATGCCCGAAACTCTTTGGCCCCAAACCTGTTTCAGCCCTCGGCCCTAAACCAACTCTAAAACCGCGAGAAGCCCTAGACCCAAGGCTCCTAAGCCCTAAACCCTCAAAGGGACCCTTGTGACGGGTGCCTTGAAACCCTATTGCATAAGCCCTAAACCTAGGGCTTGTTCTGCGCAAGGCTTGAGGGCGCCCAGCATTTCTCACTCAGCGACGAGGCCCCTTGAAGGAAAGTTGGGTTAAGGCTGCAGGATTTAGGGGTTCCAGTGCCTCCGAATGGATTTACAAGTTTTACGAGGTGGTGTTTACGAAATGACGGTCTAGGAATCATACGGGCTTAGCTTAGAGGAACTTAAAACAGTTTTTTGATCGTTGGTTATTACAATTTCGAAGAAACAACCAACATTATAATTTTTGCTGGGGGGTCTAAGTTCGGTATAGTTAGGAGTTAGGGTGTAGGGCTTAGGTAGGCTTCAGAGGCAGGGTCTGGGGATCATGGAGCCTGGAAGTAAGCACTCGAACTGTTCAGCATGTAGAAAGAAGGGTCTTTAGGGGAAATAGTAAGTAGGTAATACGTAGACTTATAAGTACCCTGACAGTGGTCCTTAATTGGGGTTATGATACTTATAACTCTATGAAAGACAAGTATATAGAAGGCTGACGTGTCAGAGTAACATTCAATACCTCTCGAAACCGAGGTATACCTAGTCTAGAAACTGAGGTACGGTGAGGTTCTGCGGCTGCGACAACAATGCGGGTTTAGTGTTTGGAAGTATGGTTAGCAGGTTGCATTGGAATTTCTGAGCAGCTTGTTGGGTGTACTATTATGGAGAGTTCCCTGGTGCTTCTGCCACAGTGGCTCTTCCAGGGTTTACACTAAAACACGCAGTATTTCCGATTCCCCAGTCGTCATGATCAGATTCGCCCCCGACTAGCTGAGGTTCCAGACGTGCGCTGAAGTGTCCGTCGGTTCAAGTTTCAACATGCAGCGATCCTGCCCCTAAACCTTCAACGCCGGAACCCTAGACCCCAAACCCTCAACGCCTGAACCCTGAACCCGTAGACTGTGAACCCTAAAACCCTGCACAAAAAAAGACCTAAACTCCCTTGCTTCGGCGATGCTCCATATTTGGAGGCCTTCTGGGGAAGAGCTGACAGCTGTGAGGTCAGAAGAGTTCGAAAATGTCATAGCTTTGAAGGAGCATCTCTTCGAAGTGTATGGTTTTCCTGCGTATCTGCAGCAACTTTTGCATGATACTGATCTCTTGAGTAATGACGCCACGCTGAGGGCCTCGATGAGTCTGCAGTTGGTGCTGCTCTCCCTCTCCGGTGTTTCAGATGCTCACCATGCTACGTTACGTTTAGCTCAAGCGGATATGACGGATGCTGCAAAGCGGAACCGCGTGGGATTGCTCCAGCGCTTGCTGGAAGCTGGCATCGACAAAGATTCTTCTGGCTGTGATGGCAAGACAGCTCTGATGCATGCAACTTCTTCTGGTTCCTCGGAGGCTGTACGTTTTCTCCTGGAAGCTGGTGCTGACAAAGACTGTTGGGACCTCGACGGCAGGACAGCCCTGATGCACGCGGCCCTCTGGGGTAGGCTGGAGGTCGCACATTTGCTCATGCAAGCTGGAGCACGCAAAGACTGCTGGGGCAACGACGGTAAGACGGCCCTTCTGACCGCATCGGCGTTTGGTCATGCGGAGGTTGCACGTGCACTTCTGGATGCTGGCGCTGCTAGAGACTGTTGGGACCATGGCGGCATGACAGCCCTCATGCTAGCAGCTCTTCGTGGCCACCTGGAGGCTACAGATTTGATGCTTCAAGCTGGTGCCGATGCAGAGTGCCGAGACGACATCGGCAGGACAGCCCTGCTGTGCGCATGTGCGAGTGGTCACTTGGAAGTTGCACGCTTGCTGCTGGAAGCTGGTGCTGACACAAATTGCCGTGACGACAACGGAACGACTGCCCTTATGCATGCATCTCTGAAAGGTTACATGGGGGTTGCCACTTTGATGCTGAAAGCTGGTGCTGATAAAGACTGCCATGACAATGACGGTAAGACAGCCCTGATGCGTGTATGTTTGATGAATGATCGCTTGGACAGCGCACGCTTGCTGCTCAAAGCTGGTGCTGACATAGACCGCCGGGACCATCAGGGCAGGACAGCCCTAATGCTCGTATCTCTGAGGGGTCGCTTGGAGAGTGCACGTTTCTTGGTCCAAGCTGGTGCTGACAAGGATTGCCGTGACCATACAGACAGGACAGCCCTTATGCTGGCATCCGGCAGCGGATACATGGATATTCTACGCTTGCTACTCGAAGCCGGTGCTGATAAAGATTGCTGCAGCCATGATGGCATGACAGCCCGATTGTTGGCATCCCGTAGTGGTCACTTTATGGTTGTACGCTTGCTTCGGCAAGCTGGTGCCAACTAGCCACAGCATGAGAAAATGAAGAGCCTGTGTAATATGATACCCCGAAGCTGATTGTTTTGCGAGTTTCATTCGCACTGGAACCGTATGCCCAGAGACTCCAATATCCCTTAATGAAGGAGTATACCTTAAACCATATTAGGGATCCTACTATAGTTTAAGGTATATTCCTTAATTAAGGGATATTGGAGTCTCTAGGAGTCCTGCAGCCAAAACCTCCCAAGCCAACGACAAGAGAAAGGGGAAACAGACATCAGAAACTCAGACGTGCGGTTGCAGCAACGATGGCAAGGGCAAGAAACAGAACAAGAACGACCGGGCTGACAATGGATGTTTATGATGAACTCCAAAAACCAGGAGGAGTCGGAGGAGGGGCGACCACATCAGAAAGCATCATGACACTCAGACAACGGGTTATGCCTGGACGAACCCCAATCAGAGTACTTGCCCTCAGCCGCGGCCTCCATATGAAGTGCGGGCTTCTTCAAGTCACCTGCGTTTTCTTCTGACCTTCGCAGAGAGAAAGGTATTGCAAAACCATAAACTCTCTTTGTGTCTAAGACCGTCGCAATCCAAAACTCCTTCCGCTGGAGTATTCATACCCATTTACATGGAGGTCCAAGATGACGGCCAGGAGAGCCGGATGTCTTTGACTGCTTTGCAGGGAACAGCCGTTCAGGGTTTAAGGGTTTTGGGGTTTGAAAGGATCAGCTCCCCGATGTGAGTGAGAATTCACATGCACTTCTGATGTTGAGGTAATATAGGAGCCTTAATAATTACCTAGTAATGGGGTTTTGTAATTGTTAAGGTCGCTATAGTATTCGAGCCAAGGTTAGGGGTGTTTTATGACCAAGTGTGCTGCCTTGTTTAGCCAACGGCAGGGCTTTGCATTTTTGGAGTCCACAGCTAGCAGATACTCCCAGACTCCTAAGCTCAATGTGTTCTTGGGACTAGGAAAAGCAGTTTTGGGTTTGGCTTGAGGCACTTGGAGGGTCGGGGGACTTAGTAACTGGTTATTTTAGGGACTTTGTCGCCTCGAGTATTGAAGAGGCCTCGGTGGTAGGGCTTCCGATGTATCTGAAACTAGGTATCGATTTAGGAGAATCGATAAATTCGCTTGTTGTGCAATTTAGAGCCCGAATGTACAAACTTTTAGTGACTGTTGAATTCGACGCCTGGGAAGTCGTCTAGCGATGCAGGCTTCTAGCACGAATGACAAGAATCCGTTTCCACAATACTTGTAACACTCAAAACTAGGACATCTATTCACGCTTCTATATCAGCTCTGGGCTTGGAGTCTGGGAAGTTAGATGTGGGGCTCGTGTTTTCTGTAGACCTGCGTGTGAAAAATGGCAGTTCCGTAAGGGCTGTGATGCTACGATCCCGGATATCATCCTTATTAGGACATTTGGTTTTATTGAACAAGCGTCTACATCTGAGGTTTAGGTAGAAGCACGGTAAAAGATGCGGTCTTGGGACACGAGGTACAAAGTTTAGCTTCAGTGGACTGGATGTAAGCCTTATCCTGAATCTTGAGGCTTAGGCCTCCCGAACCTCCAGCATAGAGGGCTCTAACCCTAAGCCCGTAAACCCTAGCGCCCTAAGCCTTTGACTGAGGGCCCAGCGTTTCGGAAACAGACGCAGGAGCTTGAGGCGGAGTACGACTTCGAGGCGTTCAACAAGAAGACGCCTGCCGAGGTCTCTGACTCAGCGGTGCAGGAGTCCCCGGCACAGGATTCAAGCGTTTCAGTTTCAGTTTTTGGGGTGTAGTGTAGGGCAAAAATTGCATCCTGAGCGCGCCTGCAGCTGCAGGCGGATTTGCACTGGTACCTTTTTTAAGCTTTACATCAACCCGGGCTCAAAGCCATGCACAAGGGCTTGACAGCCTCGGAGTTTACGGCTTAGGGTTCTGGGTTCCAGAAACCCCGACCACTGCGGGTCTGGCCACGAAAGTTCGGGGCCACTCATGCTGTCAGCGTTGAGACAGAGCCTCCCTAAAGCCCGAAAGCTCTGAACCGAAAAAACCGAACCCTAAACCCCCAAACCCTCTAAGCCTAAGTCCTGAATCCTAAACCCCTACTTGGAGGGTCGGGGGACTTAGTAACTGGTTCTTTTAAGGACTTATAAGTACCATAACCCCAATTGGGGTCCCTTTTAGGGTACTTATAAGTCTACTTACTACCTACTTACTAAGTCTCTAAACCCCTAAACCCTATAGTTCCCTTATAGAGCCCTTTAAAGGAACCCTTATAATCCCCTTCAAAGGAGCCCCCTATTTACTAAGTCCCCCGACCCTCCAAGTACCAGCCTCAGTCCGCCCCTGCGGAAAGCTGTGCTTCTCGTGTCATTTCCCAGTCCTTGAGACGAAATTTGGGGGGGTTTCCGAAAGATAAGGGGTACGTCTAAAGTGATCCATAAGGGTTCCTTTAAGCGATCTATAAGGGTTCTATAAAGGGTTTAGGGTTTCCGAAAATAAAGGGTATCTTCTTCGGGGTCCCAAAAAAAAGGATCCTACTATGTCGGGTACGATAGTAGGGTCCCCTATTTTCGGAAACTCCCAAATCGATCCTAATCTCCGAAAAAAACCTACAAGCTACGATGCAGAGGTCGCCATAGGTTTAGGATTAAGGGTTTAGGGTATAGGGTTTAGGGTAGAGGCTTGAGGGTATAGGCTTTAGGGTATAGGGTTTAGGGTATAGGCTTTAGGGTTTAGGGGAAGGGATCCATAAGGGTTCTTTTACGGGATCTATAAGAGTTTAGGGGTTCAGGGAGCTTGCCAGAGACTCCAATATCCCTGAATTAAGGAATATACATTAAGTTATAGTAGGAACCGTAACATTATTTAAGGAAATCTTCCTTAATGAAGCGACCTAGAGTAGGCCCTTATTCTCTTTCTTAGGGTTCAGGTTCCCTTATAACCTTTGGGTTAAGTTAAAGTTTCCTGAAAGATAGGTAAAGTAGCACACCGAAACCATGATGCAGAGGTCGCAGTAGCTGCGAATAGGAATCCCTTAAAATTCCCTCAAAGAAAAATACCTTAACCAACCAAAACCTACTTTTTTGTAGGGCCCCCAGGAATTCCATATTAGGGCTTATAACAGGAATCTACAAAAAAGTAGGCTTTGGTAGTTTAAGGTGGCATAAAAAGAAGTGGAGTCCAATAACCACGAAACGTTACACCCTGAAGTACTACTTAGAGGTTCATGGGATTTAGTAACTAAGGTTATAGGTACCCGAATTGGAATTATACGTAAGTATAACACTTATAACCCGAGTTACTAGGTCCCATGATCCTTTAAGTAGACCCTGAACCCTAAACCCCATAGATACCTTCAAGGAACCCTCAAAGATCCCTTTTAAGGAGCCCTTTAAAGGAGCCCTTTAAAGTTACTAAGTCCCATGATTCTCCAAGTAGCTATACCCAGGTCCCGGCTAAAAGCTTTACCCGAGCTTATCCTTTGAAGCTGCCAAGATTACGAAACACCCTTTACCCAGAACCCCGGGAGGATCCCAAAAGTAGATCCATTAATAGGAGTTTAGGGTGTAGGGTTAGTTCAGAGTTTAGGGTTCAGGGTTTCTTTCAGGGTTTAGGGTTCAGGGTGATTTCAGGGTTTAGGGTTCAGGGTGATTTCAGGGTTTAGGGTTTAGGGTTTCTTAATTGGGGGGGGGGTCCTATAAAGTACCCTTAGAGTAGTATAGGGCCCCAAATTAAGGGATCAACTTTCTAGATCCTCCCGAGGGTCTGGGTAAACGAACCCTAAACCGCCTAAACGCTAAACCCACTACGAGACGCTTTCAAACAAGCTCTAAACCCTAAGCACTGAACAAAGCTGCAAGCTTCGCCGGATTCAAACCATGAACCCTAAAACCCCAAAACTTCACACGTTACTCATGGGCCCTGTCACGAACTGGTTTTGTGTGACTGTTGCGGATGTTCTCCACGCATCAGGTTTTGGGATCTATAGGGTGAGGGAGTTTAAGTGTTTAGGGGCTTAGGGCTTCAGAGGTTTAGGGTTTAAGGTCTAGGGTTTAGGGTTTAGGGTTTATGGTTTAGGGTTTAGGGGTTTAGGGTTTAGGGTTTAGGGTTTAGGGCTTCAGAGGTTTAGGGTTTAAGGTCTAGGCAGCCCATCAGGTCAAGAAGCGGTCAGGAAGGAAAAAGGAGTCTATACCCCAAACGTCCAAAGCCCCTGAAACCCACGCCATGTCGCCGAGACTAACTGAAACTGTACGACATCCCAACCAAAAGACTTCAACTAGGATGCCCAGTAGTACCCTTATTCCCTTTTTGTGGTCCTAGGTTCCTTATAAAGTTACCCAATACCAAAAAGAGAGGCCTTTTTGTTCTTAGGTTACTGGGTATCCTAGTCAAATAAGCAGGAGTCCCGCGATGCCGTATCTCAGTCTACAGCGCCCCCTGCTGCGGAAGGGGAGTCTCTCAGGCTGGAAATTTCAACCTTTAACCCGAAAGGTTCTGGGCTTTTGTGGTAGACCCCTAGACTCCAAACCTCAAACGCTAAATTCCTGAACCCCTAAGCCCCTAAACCTCCGAACCCCTAATTCTGTGAGGGAGTGGCCGGGGGCAGGCTCGGGCTTGGGAGTTGAAGTCTGGGGCTTTGTAGTGTTGTGTCTAGGGTGGGAACCTGATCAAGAAACCCTGGGCCTACAACCCTAAAACAGTAGGGTTCATATAAGGAACCCAAATGAAGGCCCAAGGTTTCTTAATCAGGTTCCCACAATAGGATTTGGCGGTTCAGCAGTTAGTGGTTTAGTGTTAACCTGTCTGGGGAATTGGCGCATCCGAATCCGCCGCACCGAGTGTGCCAAATGGGAGTTTCAGGGAACAGTGAATAGACGGCTGTTTAGAAAGTGGTATCATGAGAGCCCTGGTTGAAACCCATATGTCACGCAGGCTGGCGCGATGCCTCCAGGCAGGAACCCGCATCCGGGGGTAAACGAGCAAATACGGTGGCATGCTTAGGCGTTTTGGCCTTTCAACCCAGACCCCCTTTGGAGGATCTAGAAAGTAGATCCCCTCATTTGGGGCTCTATACTACTAAGGGTACTGTAGTGGAACCCCATTAAGGGATCTACCCTTTCCCTAAACCCTAAACCCTAAACCCCTAAACCCTAAACCCTAAACCCCTAAACCCCTACAAACCCCTAAACCCTAAACCCTAAACCCCTAAACCCTAAACCCCTACTACCCTTTCGGGGTCTGGGAAGAGGCGAATCGGATCCAGGGTTTACAGGGGAAGCCCTAAGGTTCAGGGTTCTAGGGTTTGATTTGCATGGCGCCCGGGGGTCCCTGTTATGTAATATAGGGGCCTGAATAATTACCTATGCTATTTTAGGGGGGTTCCTTAGTACATGTATAGTATAATGGGCCCAAAACCTTATTCAAATAATTAAGGCCCCTGGAGTAGACGCCACGAAGCCCGCTTAAACTTTGACAGGACCCCCAAGTCGGGGTGAATTAGTTGCGGATACCTGCTAGAGAAAGCAGCGGCCATAAAGTTGTACCTTGGCGTTCTTCTGGTTGGCTCTTTAGACTTTAACTTTTTGGGTTTCTATATGTGAACTCTAATAAGGAGGCTAAAAGTTTAACTTTTAGGAGGGGTTCAGAAGTCAGCCAAGGTACGATTCCCTCGTTGAACATGTTTGGTGGTTTATAGTTTCTCTTGTAGGAATCTCCAAAAGAATTCTATGTGAAGCTTAGCTGCGTAGCTCTAGGGAGGGTGGAGTAACCCCTATACAAACTGATGAAGCCCATGTAACAGTGGAACTGCTGCAAGTATTTGGAGAATCAGGGCTTGATTCAAGGCAAGGGTTTCTCCTGTATGCTCTGTTGTCAGTAAGTACCCTTGTTCAGGGTTTGGACGGTTTGGGTTTTTGCACTGCTGGCTTACTACTTAAGACTTAAACAAGAGGCCTAAATAATTAGGTTCGGGACCCGGCGAGTTCTTGCTAATAATTACAACTGCTCTGGGAAACCTGGCGCTCTAAGGACTAATTGTCCGATACAGAAGCGCCAAACCCCCAAACCTTTAAACTTGCTGCATACCGTTCCGGTTTGTGGGTTACTAATCCCCGAAGTCCATAGCGCATGTTCTATAGGACCAACAGGGGAAATAGGACTTGAACTCAAAGTTATACGGTAGCTTTTCTCCGCTCCTCAGTAATGTAGGAACCTGACTAAGAAAACCCGGGGCCCATAACCCCAAAATAGTAGGATTAGTAAAAAAAACAACCCTACTAAAGGCCCGAGGTTTCTGAATCAGATTCCTACATGGGGGGTATACAGATATAATACCCGAAATAGTAGGATCCTTCGTGGGACCCCAAAACGGCACCCCTAACCCTACACCCCCATAGAGCCCGATAAAGGCGCCTACACCCTTGTAGTACTTTTATAGAGCCCCTTTAACGGAATCCTTACAATCCCCATTAAGGGAAGCCTTAAGATTCCGACATGGGATGGGTTTCCGAATATTAGGGGTGCCCTATGTTGGGGTCGTTACAATAAGGCTCCTACCGTTTAGGGTACTACGGTTGATGATATAAATCCTGCATGGCTCATAATAAGGAATATACCATAATTCCCATAGTTTAGGGCCCTTAGGGTAATGCAGGATTTATATCATCAACACTATACGAGGGTCCCTTGAAACTGGAGACTGGGCCGAAGGCCTCCCGGGTCAAACGGGCGACTTGGGAACTGGATGTTGGCTCTATAGGGTTTAGGCTTTTAGAGTTAAGGGTTTAAGGTTTAGGGTTTAGAGTTTAGGGTTTAAGGTTTAGGGTTTAGAGCTTAGGGTTTAAGGTTTAGGGTTTAGAGTTTAGAGTGTAGAGTTTGGGCTTGAGAGTTTAGGTTTCAGGGTTTAGGGTTTGGGGGGTGCAGGGGCTATATGGGAGTTTCCGAGATTTAGGGATACCTTTTGGGGGGGGTCCTTGTAACGAGCATCTTATTTTTCCAGCTACTTTTTTGTTAGGGTCCCCTAATTTCCGGAAACCCACATGTAGATGCTCTGATAATTAATGGTTTCGTTTGGTTCCTTGATGCAAATATAGTATAACATACTACTAAGCCCAAAGTATTGCATGGATCACCACGTCCCCGAACCCATAGTGCCAGTATACATGGGAGTTTCCGAAAACAGAGGACCTTCATCTAGTACCCTAAATAGTAGGATCCTTATTGCAAGGACCCCAAAACAATGTAACCCCATATAGCCGAAAAGAGCACGAAGTCTGAAGCCTACGCCGGCCAGGCCCTGCGGCAGCTCGAGGCCGTTTTCGGGAGCGGCGTCCCATTAGTATCCAGGGCTTTAAGGGTTTTAGCATACAGTTTTCATATTCATATATATATATATATATATATATATGAAAATAAATGTATAAATATGTCTAAGTATGTATAGGTAAAATCGTATAGGTGTAGTTTTCTATGTTCACATAAAGTGTTACATGATACAAAGTTTCAGGGTTTAGGGCTTGTAACTAGGTTGAGTCTTGAATTAAATCTGTCCGTACAGGGGCGCGGGCTATGAAGGCTTGACAGATTTAGGGTTTAGGGTTTAGGGGCTCGGGGTTTAGGGTTTAGGGGTTTGGGGTTTAGGGTTTAGGGGTTTAGGGTTTAGGGTTGATTTGTTCAGGGAGGCTATAGAGCAGAGTAAGATAATCAAACGGAAAGTAGAGTCTCGAAACTATGCAAGGTCCGTAATCAAAATGTCAGAATAAACGTTAGCTGAAGGGTTACTGGGCACTCTGGACACCGGTGTTATATGCTAGAGTTGCTCTTCAATTTAGTGTTACGGCCCTTACTGTACGATTTCAAGCCCCGAACTTTTTGGTGCGATTGCATCTTGTATCCTTCGGTGTTTTGGCTGGGCCGGGGTCTCGACAAGGAGGACTCGCCTTATCTCAACGCCAAAGCAAATTATCCAGAAACCCTCAGCGCTAGACCCGAAGATGACCTTGGGAAGTTTAACCGTTTATTTCTGTGGCTTGTTGGCGTAGTAAGTTGTTACTACTCACGGTTTCCGCGGCTGGACGGACCCCCCCCTTCCCCCACCCGCCCCCCGACCCCACCCCCCCACCCACCCCCAAAATGCCCACACCCCCCAAAACAAAGACAACCCCCCTCCCACCCCAAAGACAACCCCCCCACCCACCCACCCCACCCCCCCAAAAAAACAATCACAGCCCCTCCACCCCAACCCCCAAATTCCCCCACAACCACCATCACCCTAGCCCCACTGCCAAAACAGGAGCTCTGCCACTTGTCTGATAGCACGGCGCCAACACAGTGTACTCAGCCAGCAAATGAGTAGTGGCTCCGCCACTAGCTGTGCAACTCGGCATCGTAACGGCTTCGACACCTAAAATCAGTTGCAACAGAACGGCGTACTGATTTTGCAGCTCGGCACCGCGCCCGTGTACAGGCGACGCAGAAGGGCCGAGCCCGCTTCAACCGTGACCGCCACCTAGCAAGAGCGGCTGCGTACGTATCCATCTCAGAAACAGTATGGCCAAATCTCGGTAGATGTTCGGTTAGCAGGACCGAGATGGTGCAGTCCAAGAACGTTAAGCGTCGCCTCCGAGGTGCCGCCTCCAAGGAAGCAACCCAGGTCGGTCAGGGGGGGACAACGTTAAGCCACACAGTAGAAGGAGTATTGCCGGCCGGCCTATGTCCGAGGAGTACAACTTTACAACCCGCGGTAGGATCTCAGCCGGGCTGACCGGGAACGGCAGATGCACTCTGCCTTCCAAAAGAAGGTGGTGCCCGCGTGGCACGGTTGCAAGACAAACAGCATCGGCCATGCTTTGTAAGCGACTTCGTTTTGCCTTTGCGAGGCTGTGCGGAGCCTTCAAAACCTCCACCATGTTCAAGCACTTCCAAGGCTTTGCCGAGGCTGTGCGCAAGACGGCGAAGGCGACCGAAGCCTGCAGGCCGAAAAGCGGCGCTTCTTTGACATTGTCTCGGAGCTTCGCGTTTGCCAATGGGCCACACGGCCTCGAGACCACGGGCTGGAGCCAGTGGCCGAGACTAAGCTGAAAGCCCATTGCAACAAATGTGGCTGGGTAGGATTGAAAAGCCACCGCAAAAGATCAAAATGCTTCCCGTTCCTCAAAGAGGCAAGCGAACGGGAGCGCATTCGTCTGCAAACAGCAGTGGGCACGGTATCACATCTTGAAGACGGGGAGGAAGCCGCAGCTTGGGCTGTGAAGCCTCTGAGCCAGCATATGTGATGGCAAACAAAAGTCGGACGGCTTGCACTTGCACACTGCGGCCGCTGCTTTGCTCAGAGCTTGAGTCCAGAAACATGTGGAACAAGTTTCGGTTGAAACAACAGAATGCAGGCAATTCTCAGTGTCTGCCTTCCCGAGCAAGAGTGGGGCTCCCAGTCCATGTCTGCCAAACCCTTTGACTCAGGCTTGTCGGCTCTTGCAGCCGTCGCCGTCTTGGGACGCTGCTTTGAGCCATGGCACGGGTTTCCTTTTGGCCCGCGGCAATCGGACCACCAGATTCATAGATTCATGCAACTTTATCAGTCCGGGATCAACTGAGAGATCAGAAACTTTGATCTTTGGGCGGAGTATAGATTCGTGGTTTCCGGAAGTCGTTTTGAGGCTTTGGACGAAGGCGTTGTTTGATGGTTCGAGCTGCATGCTGGATCTTGCGGGTAGTCGTGTCGATTTTGCTCTTCGCTTTGACACAAAACAGGTGAGCCAAGTATATAGTGCCTGACGGGAAGATGCATTGCAGATTTCGAGCCAGTGAAGGCCCTAAATTCTGAACTGCGTAGCTCTGAAACAATGAATGCAAGGTCTGCAGCAGCTGAGCCCAAGCAAATACTGAGCCCATCTTGCACATTTTTCTGACACATCTGTTGACACGCTACGACTGACCGCGTCTGGAGCGAGTTCCGGCGAGCCCTGATTGGACTGGCTGGCTGTGCCGAGGCAAACCAAGCCGCAGTATTGTGATCCGAACTGCACAACCAGTGCCGGAGCTGGTCTTTGTTGGGGTTGGGGAGGCTTGGGGGGTTGGGCGGGGGAGGGGGGGGAGCGGGGGGGTGGTGGTTTTGGGGGACGGGTGGGGAGGAAAGCGGGAGTCCAGGTTCTGGGGCAGTGCCTTGTTGTAGCCGCGTAGCCATATTACTTCAATACGAAACCAAACCCATGTCTAAGTACTGATTTTCCTTTAGCAACTAGTTTAAGGCCTCAGCTACCCCCTCGTAAATAGCGAAAACCTAGCTTTATACTCCAAACACTCAACACCCTGAATGCCTAGAAGCCTTAAACCCTGAACCCCAAACACAGAAACCTTACAGCCCTAACACCCTAAACCAAGTGCGGCCTTTCTCTGGCAGGGAGGGCTCAAAGAAGCAAATGAGCCCGCGGCCCTGTGGGTGACAAATGCAATTGCAGTCCTGTTCAGTGGCGCACTTGTTTTTGGGTTCTTGTACGGTTACCAGTCTTGTGTCGCATCAGGTCATTGTTTAGAAAAACTCAACACGTTTCATTCAGTGCTTAACAAGGAAGCAAAAAATCTTCCCACGAAGCAGCTGCTGCACAGCGGTGCAAAAGCTGGACCCACAGTTGTGTGCTTTGCTGTTGTAAACACCAATCCAGGACCATGGGACTTAGTAACTACGGTGATAAGTAAGGTAACTAATACTTCTAATTACTTATAATCCCAATTAGGGTACTTATAACCTTACTTACGAAGTCCCCTGATCCTCTAATTCCACACAACAGCCGCAAAGACTCAAGTCGAAGGCGAGATGGTACACCACCCAGTACATCAGAGTTCACCAAGGGTTCAGGATTGAGGGTTTAGGGGTTTAGGGGATTGAGGGTTTTATTAAACACTACACCCAAAACCCAAAACCCATACATAAATGAACGGCCGAATCTGCCATGTTTTGGCGATTCGGAGCGTTCCGAGATTGAAACATTGCACGGAAGTTCGGCAAACCTAGACCCGACGGTGATTTGGCACTTGTTGTGAGGCCGAACCCCAAAATATCAGGATCCATACAAGGAGCCCTAAGGTTTCTTAGTCCGGTGCTCATATCACCCTAGAATCTCAGTCCCTTTATCCCTATCGCCTTAGCCCTGAAACCTGGTTCTGGAGCTTGGGGCTTAGAGTTTAGTGGACCCCAAGTCCGTACCCAGACCCCCAGGAGGATCCACAAAAATCCCCTAATTTGGGGCCCTATACTACTAAGTACTTGAAACCACCATATAAACCCAAACCCCGGGAGGATCTTGAAAGTAGTTCTCTTAATTTGGGGCCCTATACTACTACGGGTACTTTACAGGAAACCCCATTCAGGGATCTACTTTTTGGATCCTCCAAAAGGGGTCTGGGTAAACCGTAGCCCTACCCCGCAAGCTTAGATGTGCAGCTGCTGCAAAAACAGCAGACTTCGCAGACTTCAGCAGGCCACCTCCCGAGTTTAGGGTTTACGTGGTTTAGGGTTCAATGGTTTAGGGGTTTTGGATTTAGGTGTATTTGTGGTCTTGGGGTTGAACTTCAAGTGTTGTTGAATCCAGGGTTCAGTTTTCGTGCGCTAAGATTTTGATGCGGCGGCGTCTTCAAATCTGCTGCCAGTACTCGTTGCTTGCACACCCTCCAAACTAGCCTCCAAACCCTGGGTTCACAAACCTAATACGAGGGCCTGAATAATTGCCAATACAGTTCTGGTGGTTCCTTATTGTAATTGTAGTATAATGGGTACCAAAACCCCGTTCTAATTGTTACAGCCCCTATATTAGCGCGAGCAAGCCCTGCAATGGGATGGGGGGCTGAGTTGCAAGTCAGCCGTAGCCAGCGGTTGGCAAGACGAGATTGCAACCCCCAGCAGGTTGCCCGTAGCCTCGCACATGACCCTAGGCCTTAAACCCTACACCTAACTAAGTTTTCAACCCCAGACTCTGCACCTTAAACCCCAGACACTAGACCCTGAACCTTAGTAAGTAAGGTTATAAGTACCCTAATTGGGGTTATAAGTAATTATAGCTATTACCTTACTTATAACTGTATTGACCCAAACGACTAAGAGGGCAGCCATGGCTTGGGGCTCTCCCGGGTTCCTGCACCCCCACATGTTCCGTTATCGACTCCCTTGCAGCAGGCTTCACCAAAAGCCCCATCGTAAGACCATGGAATCGCTTCTGTGAGAGCCTGGTAAGATTGTGCGGAAAATCCTTCACCCTGCTCACCCATCAACCCTCGTGCACCCTCTGACATCCTATCCCAGACCCCCGGGAGGATCCCAAAAGTAGATCCCTTAATGGGGGGGGGTCCTATAAAGTACCCACAGTAGCAAAGGGCCCCAAATTAGAGGATCTACTTTCTAGATCCTCCCGGAAATCTGGGATGACAACTTATCTCTGCAGGCTTCACCAAGTACTCCAGCAGCAGCACGAACTGGTAACCTGCACCCTTCGGGAGGCCAAACAGCCAGAAAACCTATTCCGCTTTCCAAAGGGCTCTTTCGCAGGTTCTAAAAGCGGTCAGTGGACGCTTGCGAGTGTGGCTGTTTTTTTCTGTTTTTTTAAGGGGGCGGTTTTGGCTTCAGTGTTAGTCTGCATGTTTGGGTGATTTGGATTTTCGGATAACCTAATCTCTCTTCGCCTACCTGAAACTGCAAACCCCAAACTTGCGTGGATTGTTGTTTCTCTTGGCCGAAAAACTCCCTCGGAGGTAGTGGTTTCAGGGCTTTGGGTTTCTTGAGGGTTTCGGGTTCAGGGCAGCTGGGATGTGGGTCAGTGCAAGAAAATCCGAGTTTTCGGGGTTCTATAGTTGGTGCATGTAAACAACTTGAACTGTTTATCTTGGCTTTGATTCATTGAAGGCAAGAGTGTAAAGACTCCCGCCGGGTTTGGTGTTCTGCGGCAGGGTTGGAGGTGCGCAATTGTGGGTTCAAGGTTGTGTGCCTGAATATTAGGGTTTTGGGTCAGACTCACAGAGCCCCGTAAACCCGAAAGCCGTGGAAACCCCAAAGCCTGAAACCATAGACTCCTCAGCACTGAAGCCTTATACGTCTCAAACCCCGTCACCCCCTAACCCCTAAACCCCCAAAAGGCTGCATGATGAAGGCAGTAGGGCTTCATAGGGACGAGGACCCGGGCTGTCAGATGCAACGTTATGGCCTCAAAATTCAAGCAGGGCTTTGGTGCGGATAACAGTATGCGTTACAGGAGCTAGAAGCAGGGGGTGACTACCCAGTCTTGGATAGTAGTGATAGTAAGAAGTGTAGTAATAATAGTAGTAATGGTAATAGTAGTAGTAATAATAACCGTGTTGAGACTGCGCTCCTATCAGCTGCAGGGGCTTCGGGCCCGAGGTGTAGGTGCGCATGGATAGGAGTCGGTAGAATCGGAAGCCTGAGACGTGTGGCTCCACTGTAATACCAGGGCTGACTAATTGGCTACATGTAGTCCTTAGGGGTACCTAACATTGTTATCTTACAACATACATCAATGCACCCGACGAGCCCTATTCTCATCATTACTGGAAGAACCGAAACATAGGGTCCCTTGATCCCTTACGGTATATACAGAACGCCTTTAATGAATCATTGATGTATCGCTCCTAAAAGCAGGTCACCCCCGAGGACAGCAATGAACAACCTTTGGAGAAGCGCATGGCCCAACTGGAGGCCTTTGGCATGTTTCGGGACCTCGGGGTTCTATAAGTGAGGGGTTCCTTTTCATTCGTGATGTAGGGGTTTAGGGTCCAGAGTTTGGGGGTTATGGGTCTATGGCCAGGATTTAGGGTTTGGGGGTTTGGGTTACGGTTTGGCGTTTGGGTTTAGGGCCTATGATTTGGCTGTGGGGTTTTGGGTCTGGGGTTTGGAGTTTAGGGTTCAGGGTCGAGGCTATTGGTGTGTTTCCGAGCATTGTTTCGATGATACAGGTAGAGGTCGGAATGACTACAAATAGTATCACCTTGTAGTCCCTACGTGATATACTATAATCATAGACCCCCAAACCTTGTTCTAATGATTCATGCCCCATGTTAAGAGGTTGCAGACAGTGCTGTAAGGTTTCAGACTTTCCTGGTGCCTTTTTTGCGGTTTCTGGACTTGACGTTTGATCTTTTGGGTGTCGGGCATTCCGGTGTTCGGTCCCTCGGCAGCACTGTACTGCTCCAGGGTTGTACGCTTGCCGGGTCTGAAGCTAAGCGACCATAATTGGGAGTTTCCGAAAATAGGGGACCCTAATCTAGTACCTTAAATAGTAGGGTCCTTATTATAAAGACCCCCAAATAAGGTACCCCAATTTTCGGAAACTCCCAAATGGGACCTATCGTACATCGTTTAGCTTACTTGTAGAACCCAGCTTAAAGCTCCAGGTTGCTTTGCCCAAACCCTAAACCCCTAAACTTCGGTCTTGAAGATTCTGGTTGTGGTTGCTGTCTGCAGGGTCTCGATGGTCCCAGGCCAGGAATTCTTGAAGTGGCGTGTACCGGCAGGATTATGGTCTTCGGTTTATTGGGGGAGTAAGTGGTTTGAGTTTCAAGAGTGCGTAGAATATCCTTTAACCGCAAAGTACATGCGCTGCAGGCCGGGGGGGCTGAAAGGTCATGACCTTCTTTAGTGTCCGTTGCTAAATTTCTCGTAGAAACCCACAAACTCTGGTCTAATAATTCAGCCGCGCTTGGTTTTCAAGTCTGTCTACTGCCCAGAAAGGCTCCAAAATCCTAAGACTATGCGAATTTTACACACCAAGATACGCTAGCAAAATACACCCGCAAGAGTGGTAGAAAACAAAGTAGACCTCATTGTAGCAGTTCCCCTGTTTTTGAAATTGTCATCAGGCCTCAAGCATGTTTCTCCATCAGAGCACCCAGCAGTACCATGATCCTGAGCTGCAGCGGTGAAAAGCGAAACTCCAAAGACAGAAAGCCGAGCAGGCTTGACACTTCAATTGGGTGGTTGTCAAAATTAGGGTCCCTTTTTGGGTACCCTAAATAATAGGTGCCGCATTATACTACGGACCCAAAAAGGCACCATAATTTTGACAACCACCCACTTGTCAGAACAGAACGCATATGCCATAGTAGCAATACGGACAACGACAGCAGTGGCAAGCATGCTGACACTTTCGAGTCATACTGCACAGTCCTCACGGAACCTCGACCGGACCCCTGTTTACAGCAACCCACATGTTTAGATCATCCTGCTCATGAATTGCTTTTTGGGCCTGGTGGTTTGCTTCAAGCAACTATCGCCACCATGACTCACGTGGTCCCTAGCCCTAGGCTGGCGAGCTGCGGATTCCCTACTTTGACAACGAAGGTCTGTGTCTATCAACCTCAGAACCCTCCTTATTTCTGTCCAAGGGGAAAAGGAGGGACCCCTAATGGGGACCCCTAAGTATATACCCTTAATATAGCTATTATATACCCGTTATATAGCCAGCCCATTATTGGGTAGGGGTCCCCATTAAGTGTCCCTCCTTTTCCCCTTTGATTCTGCGAGCGTTTCCGATTGAAGGCTCTGGCTACCGACTATCCCGTCCTAGAGGCCAGTTGCTGTGCGTCGGGGACTGACTGCTGGAGCAGAGGCCCCAATAAAGTACCCTATATAGTAGGGTCCTTATTATAAGGATCCTAAATAGTAGTACCCACTATTCAACTGAAAGTGTACACTTTTGGGGGGGGCTTATGAACTCAGCAACTAAGTAAAAAGTAGGATCCTTACAAGGACCCCTAAATAAGGTACCCCAATTTTCGGAAGCTCCCATGCGGATCATGTTCACCTCACCATGGCGATTGGGCCGAGCACAGTGGCGATGGATGGTGATGATGAGGTTGCAGATGCTACTCTGCCCAGACCCCCGGGAGGATCTAGAAAGTAGATCCCCTAATTTGGGGCCCTATACTACCCAGGGTACTTTATAGGAACCCCCATTAAGGGATCTACTTTTCGGATCCTCCCGGGAGTCTGGGTGCTACTCCGCCTCCTCGTCTTCTTGCTCCTCCCTCCGGCTGCTGCAGCTGCTGCTGCTCCCTCCACCTACTGCTATTACTACTGCTGATGATGCGACTACTCCTCCTCCACCTCCTGCTGCTGCTCCTCCTGCCTGCCACGCTTTCCACTACCACTACCTCAGCGGCTACCGGCACGTCATTCGATCGCTTCTGCCGTGGGGCTAAGCGCACACAGACACGCGCAGACGTACAGGCACAGGCAGATAGAAGGAGTCTGTTCCTTCAAAAGTCACCCAGATCATCCCCAAAATCGGTAGATCGAGATTCCTTAATAGCTGAGTATCTTTTGGGGATTGTAAAATCCCACCATATTCCAAAGCTTAACCTTCTTTGGGCTAGGGTACTCAGCCTCTAAGACTATAGGAAGCCTTAAAGGAAAGGCCCGGGTCTCTATGGGGGGCCTGGGTGACTAATATAGGATTCTCGAACAATCCAGGCATCGATGGGCAATTCTTTGCATCTACTTGAACGATCATGGGACTTAGTAAGTAGGGCTATAAAGGCTCCCTTTAAGGGATCTATAGGGGCGCTGTTAATGTTTTAGGCTTGAGGGTACTTGTAGGATCATGGGACTTAGTGAGCAAGGTTATAACTACCTCAATGAGGGTTCTAAAACTATAGTAGCCCCAGGGACTAAGTCCCATGATCCTCCAAGTAGCAACACTCGTCTTATGTAGACGCCCCACAGAAAACCCAAGCAGAGTTGTAAGAAATTGAAGCAAACCTAGAAGTTCCCCATAAAGCCACAATAGGCAGTGAAAAAGTAATCTTGGTATACTATTCACCTAAGCCCTATTCTACAAAGCCCATTAAGGCCCGTCGTATCCGAGTCTCTACCAGGGCTACCGTAAGCCCTAAACCGACTATCCCAGGCCCATGCGGTCGACGATTCGAATCTCCGCAAAGGGCTGGCTCAAGCAATCAAAGCCCATTTCATCCTTCGCGCTGCTTCCGCCTGCGCTTCCTCACGCCGCTTGCTGAGGGTTTAAGGAGGTTTCTAGTTCAGGTTAGGTTGGGCCCGCACCTACTGTGCTGGGTGTCGAACCCAGTGCACAAGCTTCTCTGGGCAGGGGGCATGTTGAGAGGATCCGGAACTAGGGGAACCGAATATACCACCCTAAACAGTAGGATCCTGACTATAAGGACCCCAAAACAAGGTACCCCCAATTTTCGGAAACTCTAAACCCTAAACCCTTTACACATCCCTTATGGATCCCGTAAAGGAACCCTTATAGAGCCCTGTAAACGTTAACCCCCGATTTTCGGAAACTCTCATGTTCAGAGGAGCCAACCTCGATATATCGATCTGCTACGGTTGATGATATAATCCCATCATTACCTTAAGCTTAAGGACCCGAAACTATGGGAACTATGGTATAGTCCTTCTTATGGGTCATGCAGGATTTATATCATCAACCGTACGATTCAGGGTTCAAGATCCTCGGCATTTGTATCGTCGAATGTAAGATTTCTTAGGACCTAGAGTAGGCCCCATTATTCCCCTTCTTTAGGGTTAGGTTCCCTTAAAATCCCCTCTAACCGCAAAAAGGTAACCCTTCTTATTCCTAGGTTACTCTTGGGTTTAGTTTCTGGAACTGGTGACCGGATGACTGGCATTTGGGCGGGCGGGTGAGATTTCAATGTAGTTTTCGGGGCCTGGGTCTTCGGTTTGGTGCGACCTGTGCATTTGTAGCTTCCCAGACCCCCGGGAGGATCTAAAAAGTAGATCCCTTAATGGGGGGTTCCTATATTGAGTACCTTAGTAGTATAGGGCCCCAGTTTAGGGGATCTACTTCCTAGATCCTTCCGGGAGTCTGGGTTTACTTGCTAGCCTAGTGGGCGACAATAGGCAACGTTTCAGCATCTGCAGCTCATGTAGGTCTACCGTAGCTGATCGGACCAAACACTAATTTCAACCGATACATTCCTAATCCGTGAGGAACCCTAAAGGGCCTAGACTAGACCTGCCCTAATATCAGAATCCCTCTGAGAATCATTTCAGGCAGAGGAGAGGAGAGGTTATGAGTTCTACATTACTGTAGGGTTTATAAGTTTAAGCAGGAACTTACAAACGAAAGTAGGTCATTCTAAGCATTGATATTGGAGGAGCTGAGGAGCCAGGGATGATGATAATCCCTAGTTTTAAGGAGCTAAAGAGCCAAAGGAACCCCAAAACCAATGGTTTATGGCAGTTTCAGGTGAACCCCTTAGGGACGGTAGGATCATGATCAGGGCTGCTGTAAGTGTAGCGGTACTTACTTATACAGTAATTAACCCTCAGTTAAGGTACTTTTAGCTTTTCTTACCAAGCCCCATGATCCACCAGGAAGTCTGAGTCTCTGTGCCAATCACCGAAGTCGCTGACGAAGTCTCGAGAGTCTTCAGTGCTGGTGACTAAAACGGAGGCGGCAGCTCTCGGCGGAGGTCATTGTCTGCTTGAAGCCTCTTGGCCCCTGACTTCGAAAGCAGCCATTCCTGGCAACACAGTTGGCATGCCAATGGTGACGGCAGCTCAACATTGTCTCCTGCATACCCGAAAGCCTAAATTCCTAAACCCTAGTCCCTAGAAAATGCTGATGGCTGGGTCGGCGTGGGGAAGACGCGGAAGCAAGTAATGTAGGGGCCTTAATACTTAAAGTGGGGTTCCTTCAAAGGGCTCTTTAAAGGCTTCTATCAGGCTGCTATAAACGTTTAGTAAGGGTATCGTAAGATTCAATCAGGGTTTGGGGGTTCATGATGCTGTAAACATGATCAGGAACCCCGGAGACAAATGGTGGCAATTTTTTGTTCAGGCTTCTGTATTACACTCCGACAGGCGTTGTTTTGACTTCTGTTTCTTGAAGGAGCTTGGGCATCAGTCTCTGCGTTATAGACAAGGTTCTACATCTTTGAAAGGGTTTTATATTCGAATCTACACAAAGATGTTACCTAGACCTTCAAGCCTCCGCCGCAAGCCCTGCCTGGCGGAAAGCCCTGAATGCCATGGGCTCCTTGTCGAATTGCAATCAAGGGTAATTTATTTTTCTTCACAAAAAGGTCGAGATTAATTACTCGAAACCAGGTAGGTTATCCGCTGGTTATTCGAGCTCCTTGTCGAACTTCTCCAAAAAGGGTAAGTTATTCGAGATTCAGGGAGGTTCGGGAACGCGGACCTGGGAGCCCAAAGCAGACGAGGCCATGTCGACTGTCGCAATGGCCCGCCAGCTGAGGCGGGGACGTAAATGAAGACTTCTGTTTCTCTATGGAGATCAGGATGCCTGGTAAGTAATAGATTTTGTAATATCATGTTTGTATGGATCATGGAGACTTCTATTTCGATGATGGGGATCGTGGCACCTAGTAAGTAATCGAGTTTGTAGTAAGGGTCTAAAGAATTAGCCGTACGTCGTAGTAGTGTAGGTAACCTCGATTTCTGTTCGGTACTACATCCTCGGTACAATCCCCAAGGTTAACCTTTAGTTGCCCTAGGATATCGGTCAATTATGCTTTGTGGTCCCTATATAAGTAAGTGATTAGCAGAAACAGCCGCTTCGGATGTCCCATACATCCAAGCCCCGCTGAATCTATGGGGGCACCCATCTCCAATGGATGACCCGAGCTTTCGTGTTGTCTTTGAGCCCCAGCTGAACCAGGGCTTGCAAGACGACCATGAGACTTAGTTAGTAGGGTTGTTGGGCTCGTTTAGGGGATCTTTATGGGTTCAAAAAGAAGGGGTCTAGGGTATACTCGAAGGATCAGACACTTCGTGCTTTGAGATAGCCACAAGCAGGGGAGCATGACCGCAGATGTAACCTACGAGCGACCGATCCGAGAGGCCCTGTGACACCACGGAAAACCTAGGCCGCGCAAGAATCCGACCCTAAACCCTAAACTCGCTAAACCAAACCCAAAACTCACTAAACCAAACCCAAAACTCACTAAACCAAACCCAAAACTCACTAAACCAAACCCAAAACTCATTAAACCAAACCCAAAACTCACTAAGCCAAACCCAAAACTCGTTAAACCATCTTGAACCCTAAGCTCAAGAAAGACCACCAGCACAGCCCTGAAGGCGCAAGAGCCTTGGCGACAGCCCAACTGGTTTTCCGGACTGTTTGAGGGTTTCCTTTGAGGGGTACTATAAGGGCTCTTACATACTACGTATAAGGATTCCTTCAAGGGCTCCCTTAAGAGCTTCCAGAAGAGGCCTTGAGAAGGGTTCTATACATACTGCGGTCGTAGGCATTGGGTCGGTTCCATCTTTTAACCGTTCAATGATGTAGTCGAGTAGGTAACCTTTAACCTTCTTAACATCCCTGTATGGGTAGTTGTCCAAATTAGGGTCCTTTTTCGGGTCCTTACTATAATACGGCACCTAATATTTAGGGTACCCAAAAAAGGTACCACAATTTTTTGACAACCACCCATATAATCCCAAAGGTTACGGTGAATTCTTTTGCACAAGTGGAGGGCAGCCGGACCGCCGCCAAGGCCATGGAGGTTAGTATGATAGGGATCCTTAGGGGTGTAGGGGGGAGGGGTGTAGGGGACTATATTTCCTTAAATAGGCCTTATTAGTCCTTATTATGGGCCTTAAGGCCCCCTACCCCCCCTCCCCCTGCACCCCTAAGGGTCCCTATGACAGTATCAAAGTTCTGATGAAAACTTTCCGCAAGTAATGATACTGTGGTATATTATTGCATAGTATAGTATAGTAGTAGAGCATATCAAAGCTCTGATCAACACTTTCCCGCATTTTCCAAAACCGCACTTGGAGGATTATGGGACTTGGTAAGTAAGGTTATAAGTACCCTAATTGGGGGTATAAGTAATTCTAACTGTAGTTACCCTATTTATAACCCCAATTACTAAGTCCCATGATCCTCCAAGCATCTTCGCCATTGCAAATGGACTTGGCGGCTCCGCATGTTTGCCAACCGTCACAGTAACCTTTAGGTCCCCTATGATGCCGGACAACTAGGAAAGCTCGCTTGTCATCTTGTGAAGACTGTATGCACATAAACGGGACCCGGAAGAGTATTCTGATTTAGGAAACACGGTTTAGGGTCAAGGATTAAGGGCCTCAAGTTTCTTAGTAGCTGAGTAGGTAACGTTCAACCTTTGGGGTTTATATAAACCCACCATAATTGATGACAACTGATGAAACGTTAACCTTTTCTTGGGCTAGGGTACTCAGCCCCGAATGTAAACTACTATGGCCTCTTGAATTCAGTACTTCCAGTATGAGCAGCCCATGTTCCCCCAAGCCCCAAACCAATGACAGCACAAGAGGTTTAAGGTCTAGGGATCTGCGCTACTAGGTTCCTGAGTGGTACCCTGTTGCCATTTTCTTTGTAGGCTCCCCTGATAACACGCCGAAGGGTGCCCTTCTTATAAAATGCCAATTACGAGGAACCTAGACTAATTTTGAGACAACTATCCTTTCATGTGCTTCATCAGGAGTTCTATTCTTACATCCCTCAGTGGGGCCTGGGAAGCTGCAGTAACGATCAGAACAGGAATGACAGGAAAGACCAGACCTGCGCGCACTCCTAAAGGCTCCAAAACCGAAAGCCGTTGGACCACAACCAGAATATGAAGACTAATGGTAGCGATGAGCGGAACAGAAACACAAACAGAAGCAACTGCCTTACCTTTGGTTCGTAGGGAATGGAAGAATGGTAGAAATAGTAGTTATAATTGTACCCCATTCCTCCATTCCCTACTAAACCAAAACGTAAGCGCAGGACGTCACCCGCTCCATGCCGGTCCAGCGGCTTCGTGTTCCTTCGAAGGGTGCGACACAGGGGCCACTTCGGTCTGTCTGGAAAACTCGTGTCGGTAGCAGGGTACTTTAGGGGCCTAAATAATTACCAACACTATTTTGGGGGTTCCTGATTATGATTACAGTACATTTTGGAAAGCTCATGCGGGAGTTTCCGAAAATAGGATAACCTAAAACAGTACCCCAAAAAGTAGGATCTGTATAAGAAGGACCCCCAAAATAGGGTATGCCTCATTTTTGGAGAACTCATGTCTGTATCAGAGTACCGGTAAGGAGGGTTTCGTGCTAAGGGAGGGGGCTCAAGGGATCTATTTGGAGGATCATGGGACTTAGTAAGTAAGGTTATAAGTACCCTAATTGGGGTTATAAGGAAGTATAAGTATAGTTACCTTATTTATAACCCTAGTTACTAAGTCCCATGATCCTACAAGTAGTTCCGGGTCACAGCAGATTGCTCCGATCTTGTAGTCGCCAGGTTACGTAGGCTGATTCAATGAGTATTGCTTGAACCCCCTAAAACCCTAAACCCTAAACTCCTAAACCCCTAAACCCAAACCCCTATAAACCCTAAACCCCTGAACCCCTAAACCCCTAAACCCTAACCCCTATAAACCCTAAACCCCTAAACCCCTAAACCCTAACCCCTATAAACCCTAAACCCCTAAACCCCCAAGTCGCTACCATGAATCTTGGAGTCAAGCGTTGCTTCGGCAATTTTTGGTTGAGGGGTTTAGGAGTTCAGGGATGTAGGGGTTGCAAGCTTACAGCTTGTGACACATGCACGCAAGAGTCGTGTGCTTGTGCAGCTACGATTGATCGAGAGAAGTCTGCAGGAAAAGGTTCTCACTTCCGGCGTGCCATAGTCCCGCCCCATTAGAGGCCTACGAACTGCGATTACCAGGGCAATCAGAGCTTGTGCGAATCATCTACCACCAGGCGGGCTGATCGCTCGCATGGTAGCGGAGCGGGTGCATTGAGGCGCCGGTTCCAGAAGAACGATCCAGGGCAAGTACGAGACTCCACGCTGCGGGGCCGCATGGAGACGACGAGCAATCAGACCCGCACCAAAGACGGGGTGCCGATATGGTCTGGAGACACAGCCACTTTTGTGGCCTATGAGGAGCAATGTCTTCTATGGGAACAAGGCATTGCACCTCACAAGCGGGGAACATGTGCTCCTCGCCTGATCAGTGAGCTCCAGGGAGCCGCGAGGCGGCTTGTGATGGGTAAGCCCCCGGAATGGGTGAGCTATCCTGGTGGGGTTCGCAAGCTCATGAACCACTTACGGCAAGCTCTAGGCAAGCCACAGCTGGCAGAGTTGGGGGAGTTTTTGAGCAAGTACTTCAAAGGGACCCGACGCCGGGCCCAGGAGACCATCAACGAATATGTGACCCGGAAGTCAGAAGCATACATGAGGGCATGTCAGGCCTTACAACGGGTCACTCCTACCTCGAAGCCAGCTTCCAGCAATCAACAGCAGAGCTCCTGGCGACAGCCGTACTGGGAAACCAGTCAAAGTCGCCGGAGCAGTGTGGATGCCTCAGAGATGGGTTCTCAGGCCGACCAAGAAGACGATGAAGCAGAGACCACCGCAGCATCCACGGGGCGCGCCCGTAACTCGAGCTCTGGTTGGGACAACTGGGGTTCGGACTATAGCTATGGCGGATGGTCCTCATGGTGGGGATCTTCTTGGAACTGGGATAACCAGTACTACGGGAACCAGAGTTGGCCGTCACAGTGGAACCAGCAGGACTGGTACGCAAGGACAGAGGCGGTAGACACCGCCCCGGCAATCCTACCCGACTTCGTGCAGGGGTGGCTGTTACTTCAGGATGCGGGCCTAAGTTTGGCAGAGCGCAATTTGGTGCAGACGGCACTGGCAGGGGATTTTGCGTTCGACAAAGTGGCCCAGGAACTCCGTAATCAGCTTCCTGAAACCGAGATCCGCAAGCATGATCAGCACCATAGGGCCAGCAGCTTCATTGGAGAGGACATCTCTGATGGGGACGATGGCGCTCTCTCGGACGGAGATCGGGATAGCTGGACCGAGGAGGGTCTGGCAGCATGGGATGAGGCGGAGAAGGAGGCGCAGACGGCGCTCGTGGCCGCCGCCCATGCCAAGAGAACCTTGCGAGAAGCGAGGATGAAGCAGCTCCAAGTCAAGCAGTCGAGAAAGTATTTCAAGGTACCTTCCTCTGGGGGCAGAGGGAGTACTGGATATGTGCCCGACGACAGTCGAATGACATGCCTCGCCTGCGGGAAAGTGGGCCATAGGGCAGCTCACTGCCCCAACCCGCCCAAGCCAGCAGGCACACAGGCAGCAAACAGTGCAGAAGAGGAAGCTCCTTTTGTCTGTTTCAGCACTGCGCCTGAGGAGGAACATGGATGCAACTACTATTCGGACGAGATCGAACCTCAGGCGGCTTGGTCAGTGGCAACGCCTATGACCACACATGACGCGGTGAAGGCCGGCTATGCAGTGATAGACGGAGGGGCCACGAAAACACTAGGGAGTGTGACTGCTTTGGAAAACATCCTCGCGATCAACCACCGGAAATGGGGCAAGAACCAGCTGAAGGAGGTGGACAGGGGCAATCGGCCCCTGTTTGGATTCGGCAATTCCACGGAGAATCGCTGCCTCTCGACCATCAAGCTGGGAGTTCAGGCTGGGAATCATGAAGGTGAGCTGAGCGTGCACGCTCTAGGGCAAGGCACAGGGCCAGTGCTGTTCTCAATCGACACATTGCGACGGCTCAAAGCCGTCATAGATTTTGACAACGATTTGGCAGTCTTTAGGGCCCTTGATGAGAATCGAATCCTCAAGCTTGCCCGGTCCCAGACCGGACATCAGCTCCTGCCTCTGACAGAGAACTGGTGGAGTAGCAGTTTCACAGCCCGGGAGAAAATTCCAGGCTTAGATGCGTATCTGCCCAAGGAGTAGGGACAGCACCTCCCATCACCGGCCCCTGACGGGAAATGGGAGGACCGCAGTGCAGCAGGGCAGAATGTTAATGTTTCATGTACAGACTTTGAGATGTCAAAAGTAGGAAGTAGGAGTAGTGAGCAGTGTAGGAGGGTTCGTTTTGCATTACACGTGAGTGGAGAATCGCGGGACCCGATCGTGGAAGGTTGTGCAGGTCCAAGCCACACAGAACCATTTCGCGAATCCCCTCCAGCGTGTCAGCTACATGTCGACGGCTCCAGTGACCAAGGGCGCCATCGAGAAGATGAACAAGGGCCAGTTGCAAGAGCACCTGGGCAAGCTCGGGGAGGAGTGTCCCACACAGTGGGGGAAGGCAGAGATCAAGGCTCGCATCTACGAGCTGGTGGAGGAACTGGGGCAGGAGATTCCCAGTGGTCGAACGCGGCCACCACTGGCCACCATGATGACGGAGATGAACAAGGCCTCCCGGAAGAAGGCCGACTTGGTGACGTATGCCGAGGACAAGCTCGGGCTGATGATCTCACCCAACATGACCGTGAGGAACATACAGAATATGGCCATCCGCAAGATCTACGATCTGTCTCCGGCAACGGGGATGGACCCAGTGGGATTCGGGCGTCACGCGAGCCTATCCTACGAGGAGATCATGAAGGAGTGGCCGGAGTACTGCCAATGGGTGCTACAGACCGCTCACGAGAACGGCAAGGAATCGGACTACCGTCTGCAGAGGCTGGCAGGATGGCTTCGCAATCAGCCGACGAAGGAGAAGATCCAACCACAAAGGCCAAGGCGCGCAGTCCAGCTACCCGGAGCTCGTATCCAGCGACGAGTTCGGGGAGTCACGAGGAACAGAGCGAGAAGATCCGCCAACTCACGGAGGCCATGGAGATCATGAAGGCCGAGATGGCTGCCTTGGTGCCGGAGCCCCGCCGCAAAAAGGCGGAAGCGAGCAAATCCGAGGACGAAGGGATCTCCCCGGACAGCTTCAGCATGGTCTCGGAGAGTGGCAAGGGTCGGGGCCACAAGAAGCCGTGAGCGAGGCCCCTGTAGAGCCCGGAGCTCAGAAGATGTTGCCTGAAAGTGCGGCCCGACACTTAGAACAACAAGCCTGGGCCCTAGTGCCTGGACTTATGCAAGAGCTCGTTGGAGCACAACGGCCCGTGCTGATGCAGGTAGCATGTTCTGGCAGTAGCATATTAACCCGAACTGTGCAACAACAGACTGGGAAGGAGTGTGCCGCTTTGCAATGTGCAGAGTGGAATCATTGCGACTTAGGAACTCCCCAAGGAATAGCGCTTGTGTTGGAACAAATTCAACAGCTTCGACCCCAACATGTGTGGATTGCGCCCCCTGGAGGTGCCTTTAGTCCGATGCAGAACCTTAACCAAAAGAACCCGAAACAGCAAGCTGAACTCCAGGAGAAACGACGAGTAGCGATGAAGTTGTATAAGGGTTGCGTTAAGGTCATGTTTTTCTGTTCGCAGAGCGGCATACATGCGACATGGGAGTGGCCCGAACGATGTCAAGCCTGGCGACTCCCAGTGATACAGTCTATGTTGCGGGACCTTGGTTTACATGTTGCTACCACGAAAGGGTGTAGAGTGAATCTTCGAGAGTCGGAACATGGTAGTTTCTTACAGAAGGGATGGAAGATAGCGACCACACATCAGAGACTCGCGGAGGTCATGCACATGCCTTGCCATTGTCCCTGTAACTACCAGCATGCACGAGGTGAGAGTAGGCTTCTGCAGCAGAGTGGCGACTACACTGCGGAATATGCTAAGCGAGTGGTTTCCGTGTTGTTACAGGAGTTAAATCACCAGGGTGTTGTGCAAGAGTGTCAGGGACAAAGTAGTCTTCTTGAGGGTTTCGGAGAAGGCCCTCGATGCACGTGCGACGGCGGAGTCCAGAGCAGCAAGGAAAGTCAGTGTGCGTGGTGCCTTCTACAAGAGGGCGATGTTACCTTACAACCCCTTAATCCCACCGACCTTAAACTCCGAGAACCGTGGACGGCAGGTGGTGACGTGGCAACTCAGGGTCTGGGTTTCTTCGGAGATTCGGAAGGGGATAAAGGCGAGGGTGAGGTTCAAGAACTCTGCGAAAGTTGCGAGGGACTTCAGGAGTGTGAAGCTTTAGCGAAGCGATTGTGCGAACAAAACAACTTTACACATGACATGTGCGAACAACTCCTCCAAACTATCCCCCATGAACAACTCAAAACGAAGCGCCATATGGCCAAGCAGTCATGTGCTACGTACATTACCTTCGGCATGTATGCACACGGGGCAATGTATGGAGTGACCCAAAACACTGTGCGTTTTCCTCATGTTGTGAAGTATCTTAACGGCTACTTGAAGGCTCATTGTGGCAACGAGGCGAAGTGGACTTCCGTTGTTATCAACTTTGGCTCCAGGCTCCCCCTTCACCGAGACCTCCACAACAGTGGGGAGTACCCTAACCACCTGATAGGCCTAGGACCCTACAAAGGAGGCGAACTCTGGGTAGGTGACCATAGGCCAGAGAACGGACATCAGAATCACACGACAAAGGTGTTGCCCGACGGCAGCTCTCTCGGCGGCCACAGCCACCCGACGCGGCACCGAGTGGTCCAGTTCTACCCCAAGCAGTGGCACGAGACACAGGCCTGGGTCGGAGAGCGAATAACGGTGACGGGTTTTGTCAGTCGCGGGGTTGCGAGGGTTTCTTCAGGTGTTCGGAGGGCTTTGGGACGTAAGGGCTTCGAAGTTCCCGATGTGCGCAGCAGAGTGTGCGGTACATGTCAGAGTGCGCAAGTGGCGGACATGTCAAGCAGTAGTTCCGAAGTGCATCCGTTGAGCCAGAAAGAAGAGGAGAGAATCAAGCGCAGTTTGTACAAGTTGCATGCGGCTACTGGGCACGGATCCACGAGACACCTTGTGACTGCTTTAAGACGCCGTGGTGCTAGTGAAAGTGTTCTGAAGTTGGCACAAGATTTCTCATGTCCCATTTGTGCTGAGAAGCGTCATGTGACGCCACGCCATGTATCATCACTTGAACCCCTGCCCCCTAGATGGAGTACTCTGGCGGGCGATGTGGGAGACTGGCGACATCCCACAACGGGGGAGCATGTGCAATTTCTCCTGTTGATAGATGAGAACTCACGCTATCGAGTGGCACGAATACTGACAAGAGGTGCAAAGCAGACTCCGAGCGCGGCAGCATGTTTGCATTACATGAGAGAAGGGTGGATTCAGTACTTTGGGGAGCCACAAACATTGCGCCTGGATCCAGCTGGAGCCTTTAGGAGCAAGGCCCTAGAGGAGTTTGCCGATCGACACCACATTTACCTGGACATCATTCCAGGAGAGGCGCATTGGCAGATGAGTGCGTGTGAAGGCGCCATCAAGGGCGTCAAAGAGGTCATGAGCAAATTAGCCGACGAGGATGATCAAATCACTCCCGAGGACGCATTGGCAACGGCCATACTGACATTCAACCAGAGGGATGTGATTCGGGGTTTCTCTCCGATGCAGTTAGCATTTGGGTGTGGCCGGGATGCGACAGGTCGCATGACACAAGAGGTTCAACAGCTGCCAGAAGAATTCCACGCCGCGAACGCTTCAGGCGAGTTCCAGGATCTGTTGCAAAGACAGGCGATTGCGGAAAAGGCGATGGTGGATTGGCGGACCAAGGAACGACTCGATCGAGCCCAGCATTCTCGACCACAGCCGACACGGCACTACACCCCAGGCGACCTGGTGTTCTACTGGCGTACACAAGAATCTGGGCAAAGCAAGAAGAAGCCGGGATCCAAACAGGGCCGTTTTCTCGGCCCAGCAAGGATCCTTGCGACAGAGACCAAGAGGGACTCGCAAGGGGACTTGAGGCCTGGCAGTTCAGTCTGGTGCGTCCGCGGACGCACTTTAATCAAGTGTGCACCGGAGCAGTTACGCCCCGCTTCACATCGTGAGGAGCTGGTGGAGTCCATGGTGGAGTCCGATGGTGTTCCTTGGACCTTCACTCGTGTATCGCAGGCCATCGGCGGCAACCAGTTCGAGGATGTGAGTGCGGAGGTGCCGAGCGTCGAGGAGTGGCAGCGTGCCCAGGACATCCAGCGGGAAATTCCGCCCCGGCTGACGAGGCGCATCTCCATGAAGAGGCCAGGGCCCAGCAGCAGAACAGGCGACAATCGAGCCGCCAGTGAGATGGATGTTGACGTGGATCCCGAGGGCAGCGAACCACAGAGACCTAGACTTTCAGCAGCTCCCACGGTAGGAGAAGTGCCCAGCCAACACTGGACGACACATGTGGAGGAGCAAGCGTTCCTTACGCAGGAGTCTTCCTACTGGAGTGACAAGAATGCGGCCGTGGCAGTAGAAGTGGATGTACCCGACAGTCGTCGGGGAATTCATGCCATGACACAGGACTTGACTCACTTCTTTGTTGGCGCCTTCAAACGACGAGCTGTGGAAGTCTGTGAGCGAAAGTTAAATGCGCAAGACTTGGAGAAGTTTCGAGAGGCTAAAGCTATCGAAGTAAAGAATTTCCTTGCAGCTAAAGCGTTTGAGGCAGTGCCAATACACATGAGACCATCCAAAGAACAGGCAGTTGGCATGCGTTGGATCCTGACTTGGAAGTTGCGGGACGACGGATCCTACAAGGCGAAGGCGAGGGCGGTGCTCTTAGGGTATCAAGACCCTGGCTACGAACATCGTGATACCACAGCTCCTGTCATGACGAGACAGACTCGCCAGATGATGTTACAGGTATCGGCGATGAAAGGCTGGCGGCTGCGCAAAGGAGATGTTTCAGGGGCTTTCTTACAGGGCAGGGAGTACCCCGACATCTTACATTGCATACCCTGCGATGAGATTTGCGCTGCCATGGGCTTGGAGAAAGGCTCAGTCACCAGACTTCGGAAAGCTTGTTACGGCTTGGTGGACGCTCCTTTGGAATGGTACCGCACGGTGGCTTCCTTCCTAGAACAGCTGGGATTGCAGAGGCTTTGGTCAGACGCA